TTGACACTGGGTGGCAGCAGCTCTATGAACACACTATTCAGTAATCCATTTCCTTCTCCTTCAATATTTTCACAGTTCAAGTACCAGAGCAATAAATTGGAAGTGCTTATCACTTTTTGACATTTCTATATATATTTATGCAGAATAGTCAACAAGTTAGATGATGTCTTTCCTCTTAAAAAGAGGAGAAAGGTACATTTTCATAAAATTTCTGGCTCAAATGTTCCTTGAGGCGGTGAGGGGACTGAAAAGGCCCTCTCAGGTTTCTGGCTTTTGCCTTGCCTGCCTGATTGGCACACCCACAGTATTTCCCTTTCAAGCTGGTTTGTTTCCAGATCCTCTGCTCTCACTGTTGCACTTCTTGGCTGCAAATTTCAGCCTCCCACATTCTCCCCCTTTTCCTTAACGTGGTTGTTAAATTAGTTAAATCTGTTAAATTAATCAGTTACGTTGCTGCTACTCCTTTTGCACATTATAACAACTGTTAAATGCAAGTTTTTCTTTCCAGGGTTCAGTCCTCTTTAAGGGATGAGTGTTTCATCCAAAAGTACCAGATTTCATGATTACACCGACCCCTAGGGGAATTCTTGTGGAACTGTGTTCTCTTCCTTTTCAAAATGCCTTTTCTTTCCTTTGCTGTGGTATGAAATTGTCAAGGGAAAACATCCTGTGTGGGGAAATCAGCAAGTCACCAGCCACCATCAGCCTGTGAAAAAAAAGGACAGGCCAAATTCCACCCTCTTTTGGCTTTAGACCATTAGGAGTCTGTTGCAGTGAGAGCTTTAAGAACATTCAGGAAGAGACAATGATAATATGGGGTATTTTGGAGTTTTTTCGTTTGGATGGTTTGGGTTTTCTGTGCTGTACCTCTATACATCAAATATAAAGAGCAGCACCCTGATAGGTCTTAGGCAGAAAGAACTTGAAAATCATTAAGCCATTTTTTGACCAGGGCTCAAATCTGCAAGCCTTCTCTAAGGGAAATGGCCAGGAGAAAAGCCAAATCGATGTGCAAAACAGGTGGAGTTTAAAACTGGAAGACAAAGCTGTGCTTTTCTCCTGGCTGAGAAGACAGTCAGTTGCAGACAAGAAAATACTTTTCACTGCTGTTTGATGGCAATGAAAAAGAGCCCATCTCTCAGGTATGGGGCTCTGTGGACTCCTGGCTTGGCTTTAAGGACAGCCAGAAGTAGTGATGTGCACAGGCTCACTGTACAATAGGATTCACTTTTTAACCCAGTGGTCACTCCTGGGCCTGGTGTCATTAGGACACGTGGGGGATGCCACCTGCTAAGCTGGAATTTCGGATTTTCCGTAGGCATCAGGCTCTGCACGCAAAATCAGATGCAGTAGTTTCCAACAGTTGTCTTGTAACAGCTGCTCAAATAAATCCATAGTTTATAAAATTCAGTGTGACAATGCCCATTGTTAAGAATCTCACAAGCTCAACCAATAAACCCAGCTGAATCTAATCAATTCGTAGTGAGCTCATTGCAAAATAGATTTCAGAGAGCTTGACACAGAGCCACTGCACATCAGGAGTCACAATGAGCTCACGTTTGGGAATTCTGCCAAAGGATGCACCTGACCCCTGAGTTAAATCCTGGATAGCTGCTCTCTTGCTGCTATCCCCAAGACAGACAGCTGGGCAATATTTATGTGGCAAACAACAGATAAAGGGTTTACAAGAACATAATTACCCACCTTTTCCATGCCTGATGTGCAGCTCAGTTTGCTTTGAACTCCATGTCTGGCACCATCTTTCCCATGATGTACAGAAGAACCAAGCCCTCACCTCTTCTTTTGGTTACAAGAATGGCACCACAACCATGGGAACAACATCCCTGAACGTGGACATGCAGCCACTTTGGTGGTGAGAAATACAACTGGGAAACAAATGTCCGTACTGGGTGCATTCCTGGGCGCATGTTGATTTACCCCTACTGGTTTAGCTCTATACCCAGATGTAAAGAAGTCAATCAGAAATGTTCAGATCCATGCCAGGAAACAAAACAACTGTGCTACAACATGCAGGCACAAGAAATTTAAGAAAGAAAGAGTTCCAGTCTTGTGCTGCCTTGCAAAATGTGGGAAGGGAGGAAGAATTCAGGACGGTGTGCTATGTTACAGTTGGGAAGGCTGGTTTTAATTTTCTCTTCTTTCCCACACTTTCTACACAATTTTGAGGAAGTCAAATTGTCAAACTGTCAAAGGAGTCAAAACCCAAAGTAACACACAGCTCTCTAGAGGGACTTCAAAATCATGAAGGGACTTAAATCTCTCAGGACTTTGTCAGACAAAGATAAAAATTCTTTTTGCCACTGCACTGTATCCTCTCTCAAGTGCTCACCTGCATCTCCACTCTGATCTGGTAGTTGGGGGAAGGCACTTGCATCTCACCAGCTCAGGCTAACTGTTCTCTGTCAGGAACAATCTCCATCCCTCCTGCCTCCTAAGGCAGGTTCTCTTGTGGCAGAAGTGCAGGGAAAAAAGCACAGCTACAGCTGAGTATCTGAGGGAGCCACACCATAAAAGCAAAGCTGACAGGACAGAAAGGCAAAGCACAGGGAAGATCACCAGGGACAGAACTCAGACAATTACTAACATATCCACAGCATGCCCAAAACCTGAATGTCAAAATCCCTTATTCAATGACTTTAAATTAGAAAACGCAGCAATAAGCTTAATCTGATCATCATCATCCTAATTGTCCATTCAATTCTCCCATGATCTCCTGCACTGTGACACGACTTGAGCCTGACTCACTCATCCCCTTGTTTTACATCAGCCTAACTCCACTGGTGTTGGGCTGAAGTCTGAAGAACATCTGTCTGTAAGACAGATGGTGTGAGATAAGTATATTTAGTCTCTCCTGTATCAGCTTCTGCTTGTTCCTGGAAAACTTCCCCTCAGTCAACTGCATACATGTCAGAACTAGAAAGAATTGAATGTACATAGGAACTTTACATAAATACAAAATAATCTGTGACCTCAGTTATTACATTCATTTTCTCAACATCCACTAGGGAAAACAAAATCTGAGTGCAGGACATGCTGCAAGAAATTACATCAGTGGCTCTCTCTCCAGGGTAGCCTTTTCTGCCTCAGTCTCTTCTGAATCACATAGACAAGAAGTATAAATCCAGTCTTTGAATCTGGACTGCTGTATGGAATGTGCTTGTAAAAAATTAATGTTCATCTCATTACATTGTAAGCTTACTTTATTTGCACACAAATAAACAAGCTAAGTTAAATTTTAGAAAGGAAATATATCCCACAGCTGCACAGACTTAATGCTAACTGCACTAAACTTATCATACAGATAATTTTTCACTTAAAAAACCATATATTCCCCCCATTATTATTTTTCTATATGTATATATAAGGAAACTACATATAAATACAATGGAAAAATACATTCAAAAGCTTTTTATAAAACTTGGCACAATATTATTTTGACTGTAATAAAAATATTTATGAGAGAAAGAGATGCACAGAGAAACACAAATACATAATGTCTAGTGCTTTGTCTAAATCCTGAAAATAAAGTTTTGTCTTTGGTATTACTAAACAAATAAGTTAAGTCGCAACCATCTAGAGTCCCACCTTACAGCCTCTGCTCCATCCTCTCTGATTCCACTTTGCAGAGGCTTTGCTGGCTGCAAATTTCCATAATAATTTGCAAACAGGCAGAGAAACAAAACCAGCTAAATGTGTAGTGTCTTCTTTCAAGGGCTCCATCCAACCTTCATTAAATTCAATGGAAAATATTCTATTGCCTTATTCAGGCTGAAGGCTATGCAAAATATTTAAATTGATTTGCTGTCAAACCGATAGTCACCCACCAGTAAAAAATAATTATAACCATGCAACAAACCATGGAACTGCCTCTGAGGCATTCCCTCTCTCATTTTCCCCTTCCCAGTGGGAGAAGTCACTCCCAGCAGCCAGAGAGATGATCCAGCAGCCATGGGTAACTGAACCCTGAGCACACAGTACGAGTTGCCCGGGAGGTTTTCCATCCACTGTGGGAAATGCGCTAAAGCTGCGGCAGCTTCAGCCTGGAAATTTAGATTGGACTTGGTCTCAGCAGGAGCTGAAATAAATCCAAGCAGTGGCTGCAGATGCATCCATCCCATAAACCCCGCATGAAACCCACGAACATTCCTGCTTCAACAGCAGCTGGGGTTCATAACACAGAGTTTTCCTGTATGAGCCACGAATGCACAACATCTATCTGCATTTTTTCCCTGCAAGGTAAAAGCTTTTTGTCCATCTATTGTATCTTCACACTACACGAAAACAAAACATTTTAAGAAAGGCACATGGCTCTTTGAAGCAGTAAGGGAAATGCACACCATGGTCTGATTCTCTAGGCAACTTCTATTATGCATACACCCTTTCTTTTGACCAGTCTCACATATTCAACCTGGTGCAAAACTTGACTGACAGACAGGCAGCTTACACAGTGATACCCTTTTAGCTGTGGCTAAATCAAATCAACCTTTCAGTAAAAGTCTCTTTTCTACACATTTCTGGATCAATGCAATACAGGACACTTTGGGGGAAAAGTGAAACACAGCAGAGAAAAAGAAAAATAAGCGCCTATAGTTTTAGCTACTGACAACTGTCACAGCTGTTGGCTTCTGATACCCATCCTCTCCACCCAAAAAAAGATGTATGGTAACCTTGTTAATAGCAAAATTTTAGCTAGTGATACTTTTAGCGGCAAAGCAATAGATCTGATCAATGGTATCTGGAAAATGTTCAAAAAGACATTGCATATCAAAAAAAAAAATTCAGGTTACATCTGCTGACTGAATGCATGCCTTTGCTATAAAATGCACAGATTTCGGTGGATTATCCAAACAAATGCTGGTTCTGTACTGTCTTCTATTCTTCAAGGGGTGCTGTGTAATTTGTGTAATTTCATTTTAAGCAAGAAACAAGATAGAACTGATGCCTATGAGTCTCTATAAATGTGCCAGAAGGAAAAATGTTCAGAAATCCTTGTCCCAGCCTGAAAGTTCATCTGGAGGGCTTCCCACTTCAGGTGGATAGCTGTCAAAGTAGCTGTAATCAGTTGGTCCAGACAACTAGGACATGGAAAACACAAACAGAAAGTATCTTTTGAAAATGTTCTCTATTGATTATGCATAATTTTTGTTGCTCTCAACATGGAAATGAAAGGCTAATATGATACAGATGATGTCTTTCAATGGATCTAATTCCTCATTCTTTATAAGAAATACCTCCAGTAATTACACTGTACAACAGAACAGTGGGCTTTTTAGCCTTTTTGTACAAAAGAACTTCCCAAATATTATCAAATCCTCAATTTCATTCAAAGCTCTGTTAATTCAGTAAGAAAACTGGGCCACACTGTACAATTTGGATGCTATTTAAGACCAAATCTACACGCACAGGGTAGCTACTCAATGCAGACCTCAGAATTACTTTTTGTTTCAAATTAAGATCAAAGTGAGCTTCAAATGCTTTATCCTTAGTCTTTTTTCATTTAAGGGCAAAAACAAACAGGCCATTTAAAACTAGCAGCTTACTCAAGGTTGTGTTGGAACTTAGTAGTAGTAATAGAACACAGGAATTTGTACTCTTCACAGTAATATGAACAGTGCATCTTAATAATGTGCCCATTACCAAGGGAGATACATTTTTTCAATATTCGTTTCTGACCAAAAACCATTTTTTCTAGTAATGGTGAAAATGTAATGCAAAGTACACAGGCAGAATATTTCCATTACTTGACTGACTGTAAGTTATGTATTGCTTGCTGTCTCTCTTTTGTTCAATTTTCACAAAAAAATGTTGAACTGTAATAATTCAAATGCATCTTTGGGAAGTTTTGCTATCACCATCAGTTCTCTTTTGTAGCCAAGCTGTGTTAGTAAAGCATTATGATACTGAAAGCCAAAGCCAATACCTCTCTTTTTAAAGGCGATGTTAATTTCCTCACTTTCAGACTATCCCAGTTAAAACCACACAACCACCTGATTAAAAAGAGATAAAAGACAGACAGGGAGAGACCAAAAGAGAAAGACAGGTCCTTTTCTGACATTATACCACAAAGAGCTGAAAAATCACATGAACAAGGGCTATAAGACGCTTTTTTTTCATGCCAACTCCTGTAACAACACAGCTAGAAGGAGGAATCTGGAGCACCGTCATTGCCACATGAGGCAGGGGCAGCTTCAGGACCACCAGGCACTTTGGCACTTCTGTATGGAGGAGGTTCACAGACAGGCAGCTTAATACATGCAGAAACACAGCCATGCAGAGGCTTGTGTGTCTCCTTGGAATGCCACCCTTTTTACAACACGAGAAGAGGAAGACAAGCAGAAAAATCAAATAATTGCCTTCCCCAGGCACAAAGTGTAGAGCTTAGAAACAACTCAGATAAGAAGAGAAAGCAGAAAATGTTTAATTTACAGAGGATTTTCTTTGTTAGAAGAAAGACTTGCATTAGAAAAATTCATTGTGAGACTTTCTTTGTTAGAAAAAAGAGGACAAAATGCTAAAATTGCTCTGGAATCCTTAACTACTCATTTTTAAAAAGCAGATATTGAAGGGTCAGGAGGTCTGAGAGGCAGATGCTGAACTGGCATCGATTTCTCTGAGAATGGAATTAAACTCCTACATCAACAACCTGCAGCAAAACCAGTAAAAAAAAAAGATTTTAAATAATCATGATGAGGATTTACATTCATATTGTTGCTTGCTATAGTTGAAAAGATACTCAAGAGCAATGGAGATGTCTATGAGTTTACCTGTCTGGGTTCTAACATATTAAAAATATTTCAAATTAGCCCCAAATGTTCTTCTTGGAAGTCTCTTTTGCTTACCTGTGCTTCTTGATGTCATTTATTCCATTCCTCAAATTGCCTAATCTTTCTGTAGGGTTTTGCCTCAAAAAAAAAAAAAAAAAAAAAAAAAGAAAAAGAATAAGGATAAGAATATATAAAATATTCCTATTTTTAAAAGAGCCTTTATAGGTCCTAACTGCTTGCATTTAACAGTTGCACAGGGATGCAGCTTGCATAAAACATGTGGCCTCATGAGGAGATATAATGAGGTGTTGCTCACTGCTCCTTTTTTCTGAGGATGGAGAAACCTTCTAGAAAGCCAAAACAGTGTCACTCAGCTGTGAGAAGCAGCAGAGGGAAATCAGCTGGCTGAGTTTTAGTTGCACATCTTTTTTTTTTCCCTGGCCAGCAGGTTTGAGTTACTAAAGGAGGCAGCTCAAAATTTACAGCCACAAAGATCCTTCCAATTGTGGTACAGAAGAATGTTGAATACTGTTCCCGGTGCCATGGATGAAATCCCACAGAAGCTGGGAATCCAAAGGTCAGTGTCACCAGCCAGAGGTGGTGCAGGCCACTGAGTTAGCCTGGCCCTTCTGAAATATCACCTTCTGCACATTTTGTAAAGGACTTAAGCCAGTCTTTAAGTGCCCTGTGTTTTCTGTAGAATCTATATGCCTAAGTCATTTTGGAAGCTTCTATTTATTTTTTTTTAACAATGTGCTTGATTTGAAAATCAAATTCCTTAGCTCTTTCCTCAGTCCCCACTTAATGAATTTTCCCAAAGATGTGTTTCAGAAAAAATTCCCAGCTACAGAGAAAGCCCAGAGCCTCTGCTGCCTCTGCAGACTCAGAGGTGTGACACATTCAGGGACATGCAATGAATACTGAATTCAATCAGAATAGACCATGCCATGCATAACAATTCCAAATGAGGCTGTCAGGAATTCAGTGCTGGAGTCTGAGTCCTGAAAGAGCTCAATCTCTCTACACTCAGGCTTTGCCCCAAACTGCCCCTCCTACCTGCAGAGTCTGCGGATCAAATCCTCAGGTCGCCTTGTTATTACCTTAGGAAAATCCAGCTTTTCAATGCCTTTGAGAATCAAATTGTATGTCATCATTTGATCAGCCCCAGAGAATGGTGGGCTAGAAAAAGAAAGCAACACTGCTAAATGGAACATCTGGCAAGAGCAAATGTGGCCAATACTTATCTAAGCAAATATTTGAGAATATAGAATAAAATATGGCAAAAAAGCCCACATTCCTACTTTTACAGCCCTCACCCTTTCAGCCTGTTTAAGATAATAGAACGGCTTGAAGCTGAGAAGCTTCCTGTAGGTACCAGGTAAAATGCATGATCATGTGTCCTTTTAAGCCTAACTCAGAGAAGCTTTCACTTTGTTTTGCCACTTGGCATTCCCAAAGAATTGTCATGGGAGTGTGCAGGGAGCTAAAGAGAGAGCCCTGCTTACAGTTCACCCACCCCACTGCACCCCATCACCCACTAATGGGGAAGAGAACAGTTGTCACTTGTTCCTCACAGGAACAGAAGCAGCAGCTACAGGAGCCCTACACCTGCCAATTATAGCTTGTGCCTGGATAAGCCAGAACTGAGAATATGTAACCCACTAGGTCTGTGACATCTCTGAAATGATGGAAGGTAAGACTTGCATAAAGAAGTATCATTCTGCTGGGCTGTCTAAAAATAACCTTGGAAAGGTTTCTAGAAACAGACAAACCAGGTAAGAACTTTGAGTAGGAGGCACTCACCTGCCAGTGAGGAGTTCATACACAAGGATCCCAAGGGACCAAAAATCCACGCTGAAGTCATGGCCTTTACTCAGAATGACTTCAGGGGCAACATACTCAGGGGTTCCACAAAATGTCCAGGTTTTCTGCCCTGATCCAATCTTCTTTGCAAATCCAAAATCAACCTGATCAAAATCAACACATGCTGCATAACGCAGAGGAGTTTTGCACTGGGAAGCCTTAAGGTCTTAATTGCTTCCTCACTTCTTGCAGAGACCTCAGAATTGCTAGTTTACAGCTAGAACAACCACACAGTGTAATTGTGAAGGAGAGAGAGGTAATTCCACTGGATTACTGAATGTTATAAAGCAGATGCATTTATTGTCACAAGTAATTTTCTCAATAGTTTTCCTTCTGGGGAGAACAGCCCATGATTTCCTTGAGGACATGAGATTTACTGTCCCTGGAAAGCAGTGGGTTGCTCATTGCCTTCAGACTGGATATTTCAAGCTCCCTGAAGAGTATTCTTGTTGCATAGTCTTGCTGCATGGTTACAGTAAAGCATGGCGGGAGTTCTTTTCTGTGTTCCCTCTCCACAAAGAGAGGGAACCTATGATTGTAAATTGGATCAATGAATGTTGAACCAGTGATTGTTTGAGGCTGGACAGGGAGGTAATCCTACACCTGGGAAATGTGGTTTCTGTTCTTACAGTAAAACTGACTGCTGGGAGAATTTTTTCTTTTGCTGTTTATACTGTGGCAAGAGCTCTCAGACATTGCAATTCCCCAGTTTGTCCATGGCTTGCAGTGGCTTTGCAATGCCTTTGTTTCTCATTGTGCAATGAGAAGGCCTCCCTCTTTACTGCTGAAGCACAAGAGTTACTACACTCCAGGATCCTGGTTCTATAATTACATGCTATTTATATCCCCCCTTGCAAAGAAACAGGATACAGGCACAAAAGGATAACATTACAATTGATTACATCTTACCAATTTTATATATCCTTCAGCATCCAAAATTAAATTTTCTGGCTTCAGGTCTCTGTAGATAATTCCTATTTGATGCAGATAGTCAAAAGCCTCTGTCACACACCCAACACAAAACTTGGTGGTGAATTCATCAAAGCTGCCTCTGGAACAAAAATAATCACAGTCAAGTTCTGAAAACGCCTCAGTTATTAACCAGAAAATATCTAACAACCAGAATATTAACCAAACATCTTTTCATTGAATGGAGAACCTACTCAGTAGCCACATGGGGTTGACTTTAAGGGCAAGATTATGCTGTGTTTGCTGTTACCTGTCTCTCAGCAAGCTCCACAATTCCCCTCCAAGGCAAGCCTCCAGGAGCATGTACACGTATTTGTTATCCTTGAATGTGCGATACAGCCTGTGGAGACAAACAGCAGCAAGTTAGGAAAAGCAAAACAAAAAGCGAGGCTGGTGACGTCTTTCCTCCAGTACTCGTGTGCCAAACCCCATTCCTAATGGTGCTGCCCCAGCGGTCAGCTGGGGGACAAAATCAAGGGAACCTTATGCTCAACTTACTTTACAACAAATGGAGAACATATCTGCTCAAGGATTTTCTTCTCAGAATAGATGTGCTCTTGCTGTTTGGTGTCCACTACGTGTTTCTTCTTTATGCATTTCATAGCAAAAGCCATGTTCTCGTTTTTAACTTTAACCTGTGAATAAAAATGATGGAAACACATGAGGCAAAGAAAAGTTGTTTTACTAAATTGTTCTCAGTAGATACATTGATATCCATCTTTTTCAACACAGCATAGGACTGAAATTGATGGCTGTAACAAGGGACAAATTCCAGATTTTCTGCAGGACTCCTATGTGTGATTTTAAGCCAAGCATCAGATATTTTAGTTTCCCAGTCCCCACTTGTAAAGTGAAATGTTTCCTCTGTTCATTTTATATATACCAAATAGCAGCAGCTTGGATGGGTACTACATATTACAGTGAGTTTATATCACAGTGGGTCCCAATTTCAATTTAAGATTTCTAATCACCAGCACAATACAAACAAAAAGGAGAGGCAGTTTAGGAAGAACGTTTATGAATGATTTTGCATTACACTGAAATATTAACCAATATGCAATAAAAAGAGGGAAGTTAAAACAGGGCCTCTTGGAAATGAAGGAAGCAGGTATCTGTGTTCTACAGCTAGATGAGAATTCAATTTTTAGCTTAGTATTCAGATGCTGCAGTAGAATTCCAGCGTGGAATTTTTTTGGTGAAGCATGAATCAGAATGGAACACTTGATGGTCTAACGACTGTAAAGGATTATTGACTTCACTAAAAGCACAAATTCTCCTTTAATTTACCATTACCTTCAGCAGCCTGCACAAAAAGCATTCAGGTATTTGTCAGATGTTTGCAGCTCAGCCAGAGCTGAGTGGAATTTAAGGCTTTGGGCTAATGAAGCTCTTGGTATCCCAGAAGCACAGCTGATCATGCTATTGAATATGACTCAAAAGAGCCATTGCAAATTGTTGGAAATTTCCCAGTGAACACAGCTCAGAGATAGCTCACGCTGGCTGGAGCTGCTGTGGGGCATACAGAAGCAGTTCTACCAGCACAGACTATGTGATGCCATTCAGATTGCTCCAGGTCCAGGCAGATTCCTGGAAAAAGGCTTGCCATTCAGGGAACATAATGCAGGCAGGCACGTCTGTATACTCCACATGCACAAACTGATGACTGTGTCTGGTGACCAGGAAGGTACTTTTAGCAGCGGGAGATGGAGGCATACAAGAATGGATTTGCTTCTTTAAACACCCAAGTCCTGAAATGCTTTTTTAAACTATGCATACTTGCTTTATGGAGAATTATTTCTGCCTGAGGGGCACAGGCACATAGAATACCAAAATCTTTCACAATATTCAGTGGCTAAATCAATCATCCAAGACAGAGAGCTACATGAATAATTTTAAAACATTCTCTTACAAGCTCAACCCTTCCGAACCCACCAACACCCAGAGTTGTGACAACTTCTAAATTCTGGAATGGGGAAGGAGGGAACTGGGCTACTTTCTCCTTCAGCTCTATCATCTCCAAAGACACCTCTTTGGTCAACTGTCCACAGAAGGATCTTCCTCTGCATTAAGAAAATTAACATAGGTTAGTGCTTTTCCTTGTCATTATTTTAATGATATTATGTAAGGGAAAGGAAAGGAAATGGAAAAGGAGGAGAGGGGAAGTGGGAAAGGAGAAGGAAAGAAAACCCTTTTTATTTCCTAACAGAGCCTTAATGGAATCCTGTGGAAGTAAATTAGAAGAAAAATGCTACTGAAATTGACTAAGTAGAATCTACAATAATTTTTAGCAAGACCTGATCCCTGGTGAGATTCCTATTGATGGGAGCAGTAAAATTTGGGCAGTCCAAGCTGGAGAAGCAATGTTTGAAGGACTGTGTACCAGTTCCAGTAGAATTATCAGAAATAAGAATGCAGATATATTTCTAAACAGAGGAAAAACACACTCTGCTAATCTTCCAGCAGTGCTCAGACTGAAACCAAAGGTACATAAAGTAAAAGTGTGGCCCACAGCTCAGAGCAGACATCAATACCATCAGTGCTACACTGAAACATTAAAAATAAGCTGTTTCTTTATGTCTGCTTCTTTCTTTTTGAAATGGCACTTAATCTTTTGCACAGTGATACATATTCCTTAACTCAACCTGAAGTTAAAGTTGGCCTTCAGGGCTTTTTACCAATCAAAGAACTTATCAAAATGCAAAATCTATTTGAGCACAACATCATTTTTTTCCCTGTGCTCAGCTTTCCAGGAATAGAATGAATTTTTGTTTGGAAGTCAATACCCTGAGATTCTATGTAAGTTTTGTATCAGAAAAAGTTTGTTGGGCTCCATAAGCATAGCCAGACCGTTTTACTACAGTGACTGCTGTCATTCCTAGGGGTCCATCTCCTTCAACTACCATCAATGATTTTACTTAGGTATCTATGACTTTTTTTTTATGATTACCTGCTATAGGTGTAACAAATATGATCTGACTTACTTTGCATGTCGCTTTTCATCAGCCTGGGCCAGATTGGCCACATAACCTTCCAGGTAAGTTTGCAGCTCCTCATAAGTTCCAACTGTTTGATTAAATGTCCTAAAACCACAAAGGAAACATCATAAACTGCTGAACATTTCAGTCATGACCCAGTAGGAGTCGGTGGGTACTCAAGGATCACTTCCTCAAGGGATGATCAAGAAATGATCAAGAAATCTGGCAAAGGGGGCAAGAGACCTGTGCGGAGAAATAAAGAACTCCTGTAATTACTCAGGCTTAAGTGGAAAACAGGAGCTGGAAGCTGGGTCAGGCTACTTGGAACAATATAGAGAGGTTGTCTGGGTAAATATAAATGAGACAAGGATGGCTGAGCCCCATCTGGAATTAATCTGCCCAAGGATGTCAAGGACAAAAAGAAAGGCATCTTCAAATAGATCAGTAACCAAAGGAAAACAAAGGATAATGTGGACCCATTACATAGTGGAGCAGGGACTCTGGTGGCAGAGAAGGCAGAGTTTTGGAATGCTCTCTTTGCATTGGGCTTCACTGACAAGAACAGGCCTTAGGAACCTCTAGGTGACCCAGGAGATCAGGATAAACACCAACACTACAAGGAGAGAAAGAAAAGAGTAACTCTGAACTACTCTTAAGCTTCTGTGCTCCAGCACCTGCTTTCAGCAGGTGTATTCCTATTCTTCATTTGTATTCCTAAAGCACAACCACTTGTTCAGGATTCATTTAAGGAAACATTGTGGTTTTGCCCACAGTGAAGTCACATTAACCCACTGAAAGTCACATTAACCTACTGAAAGAGGACGCAAATCTTTTATGGAAGTGCAATGTACTTACTCTCTGTCTATGACGAGGCACTCCACATTGTACTCATCTGCAATAATGTTTGCTGATCTGACGTCGTCACTGGGAATTGAAATGCATTAGGAGATTTCAGAAGCATGTCAAAATCCTCCAAGTACCTCACACTGCACTCATGGAAGGTCACAGCTGCTCTAGGTGAAACTCCTCAAAGGCCTCTGCAGCCTGTACCTGGATTAATGCTGCTGAACCAAATACAAAATTTAGCCTTTTACTAGTCATTATTATGGTCTACACAGTATTTTGTTTCCAGTTTCAATAGGTTTGGATCATGACATCCTTTAGCAAGCTTCCAAGAAATTAAGGTGAGATGTAATTATCACTACATTAGGATTTACTACTTATTTCTAAAATGATCTTGGATATAAAACATTCCCAAACTCAAGTGCCTCTCCTCAATCCCACATGTAAATATGTACTGTGTGACTCCTCTCTGTTTCTTACTGCCAATGTGCAATGGAAACAAGAGCTCATTCCACTCACAATGGACCTTATCCATTCTGGCAATTATAACCTGGTACAAGTCCTCACCACAGTTTTTACTGAAGTATTAACAATAAGCTACAGTGCAGAGGGCCAGCATTTGACTTCTGCAGGGAAAACCAAAGGTAGATGCCAGTGTAAACTTTCAAGCTCTCTCTGCAACCCCTCAAAACATTAACACAAATTTGGTCACTATCTTCATCTACTGACTTTACAGTCAAAAGAAATATATTCAAAACAGACAGGAGTTGCAGAATCTGACACACAGTGATGGAACAACTGAGATCCTGAAATTCATGTCATGAATCAGACAGTGTGAACTAACCTAACGAGAGCCTTTTCTCCAAAGTAATCTCCTTTGTGTAGATATTTAATCACCTGAGGCTGCGAGTGGTCTGTAGTACTCTGGGTAACTATCACCTGCAAAGTACAGGAACAAAAGTTTTGTAAGGGAAAGTTTCAAAGTATTGCACAATTTTCTTTCTTTTCTGTGTATTTCAGAAATGTCTAAACTCAGTAGCACTGCAGAAAGAGTTACAGATATATATTGTTACCTCTCCTTTCAAAAATTACACCTAAACATTCCCTGATCCCTCTCTGATTTTTGTTGGGAAGAAGGAATATATTCATTATTGGCAATCCCTCAACATTTTCTCCTTGTTCCTTTTGAAACAGAGCAGAATAAGTCTCATTTTAATGAAAGACTGAAAAATACTTCAGTTCCCACAGTGAGCAGATGTCATATGAGCTTTTTGTCTTCTCAGTTAAATAGGCAACACTCCAGAAGCATTAACTAACATTTCCCCTCATGAAACTCTGCTTCCACAGTAGCACTTTCTGCTGATGCCCATGTTAGCAAGAAACAAACTAGAATATCTACAGACACAGAGATGTTTTGGAAACTGGAAGTTTATTGTGGAAAATTCTCCTGATTTAATTCTTTAGAGTCCTGTGTCAGCCTCCAAGGTATCAGCTGAGGGATAAAGGTTGATGCCTTGCTCCTCTGGGACTAACAAATGAAAGGATTCTGAGACACCTCAAAGGCCATTCTCCACTAAGCCTGGGACTCCATTACTTACTTTTCACAAGTCTATGTTTTGCCCATCAGATATTGCACCATCTAGGAGAAGAGGTAGAGTCAAATCTCATTTACAAAAAAATTGGCTTTACATCTGTGCCACAGAGTCAAGAGGCTTCAGGACACAATTTAACTACATTGTAATTAGCATACTATAACATGAGTTCATTGTGAATGAAAAATTAGGCTCCCTGAACCTCTGCAACGCTGCTCCAGGCTTTTACCACGATATTGTGAATTTATTAGCATGTGCAGAAACACTCTGCACCATTTTTACTGAAGACCACAGCCCATAAGGCATAAGGTAGCTTTTGAGATAGAAGTGATTGTACATGTTATTTTTTAAGCTAGGTTTATTGTACCTTACCTTTCCTTTTGCTATTATAAAGAAGGTGTTTCCTTCTTCTCCTTCCCGAATAACATAATCTCCCTTGTCATAGTACTCCTGGTGGGAGGCAAGTGAGAGAAAATATTGTCCAATAAATCTTTGACAGGTTACTGTGCAGAGTTCTTAACACACGTGGATGTTTCACTGATGTTTAACTTCCTATATCCTTCATGCCTCCATGTGAAAAGAATAAGGAGTTACCATTGTCCTTGGAAAAGCTATGGTTATATATCAAGCCTTTACCTTCAAAGGCTGCTGGCAAATGAAGCCCTAAGGCACACAGATATTTGGCTGGATTCATGTGCTGGGGACCTATTGCCTTCTTCCCCTACATTTTGCAGCATATGTAGTCCAAGGAATATGAAAGTATTACATATCCACATCACAAAGAGGTAAATTTGATTACCAAAAGAGTCCTGGAGAGCAACTTTGTACTTAATCTTAATAAAGGATAGATTACAAATCCTCTTAACTACTTGCTTGGCTCCTTTGATGCCAAAAATATAACTTACTTCTATGTCACTAAATGTCATTATTTTCTGCCAACCTGGAATTCAGTTCTGATTATTCCAAAACCACTCTCATATTAAAAAAGCTCAGTTATTTTTTATTTTTCTTTGTTATTTTGGAAGCTTACTGAATATTATTTAGAAAAACTTAATATCTTACCACTTCCAGGCAGTCCATGATCTTGGTTAATTTATCTTCAGGTAAGTTTTTCAGCAGGGACACACTTCCAGAAAACAAACAAACAAAAAAAGCCCCATAACCCAAAGAAGTTACCATTAACAATTTTTTATGTTCTCTTCTTATCTATGCAATTTTTACAGTCAAATTTTATAACTAGTTAAACTAGTGGTGAACACAGTATACAACTAAACCATAATTTGGAAGGTTCAAGCATTCTCACCCTAGTTTTATATAAAAAAACTTGCACAACTTAGAAATGCAGCAAACATTGGTCAGTTTGTAAATCAACTTTATATTTCAGGAGAAGAAGGACTTTCGTGGGAATAAGGATTGATTTCAAAAGAATCCAGCAATTACAAACCCAAGATATGATAGCAATTCAAGAATATATTTTCAAGTGCGCTGCAAAGACTTCGAAATCAAAGGTAAAAACTTCAGTACTCTGGTCAGCTATGGAAAGATAATCTAATTGCAGTAAAACCTTTGTGAACTTGCTGGTAAGAATGAAAAAAACTTCCCACCCTGATCACTTGGACTTGTAAAAGTTTGGAAATTATAGAAATTTCTATCTATTTAGGCTCAACAAAAAGTGTGTACAGAAATCAAAGGTGGAGAGGGATGTGAAAATACACAAGAGTTCTATGCATGGCCAGGCTTGGCATTTTGATTTGAAGGCATAACAGAATGGTCATTCTGGGTTAAAAAGATAGAATATTACATCAGCTAATTGTGGTTTGGAACCATCTTCCTGAGGAGACGCATGGCACCACTCTCAGTGGTCCCCGCAGGAGAGAATTATTCTGCTCTGCAGATTTCCTAGTAATTTATGTTGGAATTAGTTAATAAGTTGAGAGACATGCAGATCTCATATTCAGATCTCCAAAGGATAAGGAATATTCCTTAATATACTCCAGCAGCGAACTAACTACTCGTTGGAGGATTTACATAGCTTTATTTATTATATTGTTCTAAATTCTAGACCTGCAAGTTCCCCATACATTTATGCTACTACTTAAAGGCATTCAAGCATCTATTGAAGTTTTCTAGTGTGATGCAGGAGAAAACAATTAAAATGGGAAAAAACCTCTTATGAATCTTAAAAGAAAAAAAAAATACAAATATTCAGGCTTCTGAGGCCATATTTGCATAAAGAGCACATTTTTCTCTCTGTTTACAAGACAGGCACAGTATTGCTGTGCACCTTAGTAAGTAGCACAAAGCAGTATCAGAAATAGAAATTAATCATATTTACCTTCTAAGGAAGTTTCTGTATTGCTCTTGTCTGGTTTGTGCTGTCACTCTCATGATATTTTGAAATACTTCTCTGTCCAGAGCCCATGTTTTAACATTAGTGATTGCTTTGAGAAAACAGAAAAAAGAACAAAATCAGCAATGTTTCCAAATTATTTGATGGATGATATTAGAGCATCAGCTCGTGGTAGAAGGCAGACTAGCTATTTCACAAGGCTCAAGGCTGAATTTTATATATCCAGCACCTATTGTAATCAGACTTTTAAAAGAATTCAATTCCCACTTAAACAATGCTCACTAAAGTAAGGAATATATTTCCAAATGGTTCCTCTAGGTAACCCTTTCCAGGCAATGCCATAGGCTGAGCAACCTTGGAAATGACAGGGCTGAACACTTGGGAAAATCTACCCTAGTCACAGACAGTCACTGCACTCAAAAGCTGTAAAATGCAAAGAAGCTGATTTGAAAGAAACAAGAACGTGGCTGGTTTTCCAAAACCTATGTTGTTAAATACTGTGCCCTGGATCAAACTCTAATTCATATTATATGCAAATTCAGATTGTATGTAAATTATCTGCACTAAGATAGAAATAACAGAGATAAAGAAATAAATTTAATTTAATTTAATCCTGTGATCCTCACACACTTTTCCTCCAAACTATCCCTTATATAAGGGAATAAAGGGTAATCAAAATATTAATGACTCATTTTCAAAAGATAATCAAACTATTAATACAGTAAGCAGGCAAAGGATTCAGCATCAAAGATGCAAACCACAAAGCAGCCTCTGAGTGCAATAATCAACACAACAGAACAGGTTTTTTTTAAGCAAAATGTGATTCCATTAAATTTAATCTATTCTTTTAAAAGATGCTACACCATATTCAGCAGTTTTCCTTCTGCCTTAAGAAAGAACAAAACTGTGTTTTCTGTGAGATAAAATTTACAGAAAAAATTGGAACAATTGATTTCCTCTGTTTATCATCAACATGGAACCATTTTTTTCAGGAAACAAAAATGCCAGGTTTAAAATGCAGCACAGTCATTTCTCATTGTACACAATATACACATATGCTCTGCCATCTATCAAAATAGATAAAAAAATATTTTTGGATGCTGGATGGGAGAACAAAGGTGTTACTTTGGTTTTATTTCTCTCCTAGACAACATCTTTCATGTTTAGATAACATCTTTGTGTGAAGAAAACATGTCAAGTATCCAGCCTACTGCAAATGTATTTTCTGTATCTTGCACCTTAACCAAATGAAGCAGTTATAGAGTTTGAAAAACTCCTGCAATCTCAAAGATGAGATTAAGAAAAGAGAGAAATTCAGAAACACAGGGGTAAATCACATTGCCAATTTCAAATAGAGATACTGCCTGTGAAGATGCTGCTGAGCAGCAGCAGCAGCCACTGAGATGCTGTTTGGATGAAATCCTCCACTTGTGTGTTTTCACAGACTGCAGGAAATCCAGCATCAGAAAGGGGTTTCACCTGTGTGTTCACTATTTGTGCTCAGCTATGGCATTGTACTGCTCCTCCTCCACAAGGATCACAGGAAAGCTATTGGGGAGGGGTGCATTTCTGCAGTGTTTGCAAGTATTCAAACACCTTTTCTTGTCCATAATTGGACAATTCTTGTCCTACCTCAAAACCAATTAGTGCTAGCAAAGGCCTAAAGCAGCTTGACATCTTATTATGCGGAAACATTACTTTATAATGCTAATACTATACAGCAGGCAAAAAAGAAAAATAGGGAACATATTCAATTAGAACAGCATGTTAGTAAGAAAAATAATCACATTACTGATGCTGTTCTGTTTATCAGGCAGCAACAAAAACAGATTACATGTAATAACTTCCATCTGCAAAGCCAGCAACGATTAAGAGCCTAAACTGGGTCCAGGAAGAAAGACCAAAGGCTTTTACAGCAAACAACTTCTTGTTTTATTTCATTTGCTCCTTTTTAAGTCAACATGAACTCTTCATACTTACTGGTGGCACAAAGTCCCTGCAGATTTAGACAAGAACAGAAATTAGTCTTCAAACAAAAGTATTATTTATGAAATGGTGGAGAGTGGAAAAATGACAAACTTAACCATACTTAGTCACTTACTTGTCTGTCACAGAACAATTATGGCATGTTGGAAAGGGAGTCTGGGGTACTTAATGGATGTACACCCAGTCTTACGCAGGAAGAAGAATATTTGTATCAGAGCAACACTTAACCACTCCATCCTGGTCAGTCCCCAAACTGCTAGATGCAAATGGATCTAGGCAAGACTCAGCAACATAACGATGACACAGAACTAAAAGAAGTGCAAAACCAACTAATTCCTGCATATTTTAAATTGAATTAGAATTGTACCCACTCTACTAAAAATACCATGTTCTCATATGCTTTCAAACTCACTGCAATTTCATCCTCGGCACTGCATTTGACACAAGAACATAAGAGCCACAGACCACCACCTCTACCAAAGCATCCACAATTAAAACACAGTCCTGCTTTAGTTGTTAGTGTGCTACAGATAAGGCTAACCAGCACAATTTGGAGGTGCCTAATTGTTTATCAAGGGTTATGCCAGAGATGGAATGATATTCATGGCATAGTATTCATGTTCCCAAGAAGAAAGAACTCAAGGAAGAAATACGTGAGTTTACTGTAGATAACTAAGACATGCAAACATCTATTAAATGAAAACTTCAAAGAAAATCTGGATATAACAGGGATCTCACAAAAAAATCCACAGTTTTCATTTTAAGCAAGGTTGCTGTATTTAACCTCAGGTACCTTTCACAGAAGCTGTCCGTGTGCAGTTGTATAAAATGGCCAGTTCACCAAATGCTGTCCACACAGGTATTGAGGAGAGTAGTTTATTCTGCTGAAAGACTTCCAGACTGCCCTCTGTCAAAAATCATCAGGATAATAGGTATTAAACCTGTGCTCAGCTGCACAGAGTCAAAGGAAAACAAATCAATATATTCCTGACTTTGCCACTCCCTGGAACACAGGAAGGGAGCAACAGTGCAAAAAGTGCTTTGAAACACACACACAAACCAATAAAGATTTATTTTTTAAATGTACCGCTAATCTACAGATGTGCTCTGGAAGGGAGAGTCATTCTAAATCCTGATGGATAAAGCTTTGTTACAACAAGCCACTCACTTGTGGTTCAGATACTCTAGTGTGGTGTAAAGAAAGAAGTCTCAAAATAATGATCACAGGAGAAATTACTCATGGTTTGTCTCTTCATACAGATGTATGAGTGTATATAGAGAGAGAACGCAAAGCAGAGGGCAGAAAAATTAAAAGCACATTAAATCTTCATTCAAGAATTTGTTCTTGAGCTTTACTAGCAAAAGTCAAATAAAGTCAGAACTTCTTCACAGTTTGTAGCCTCAAAAAAACTTCTCTTAAACATGTTATGAAAGTTCTTCTCTCCAAGCCCCACTCCATCTCCTCAAAAAAGTTTCTAATGTGCCAGAAAATGGTCCAGGTGCACATCTCCTTTCTGATATTTAATCTGTTTTCAAAGTGTTATCATTTTGTCCTGCAAGGATATGACAACACCATCACAAATCCTGCCTCCTCTTTTTACCTGTAACATTTCTGTTTTCCTAACACAGTCACCATCATTTTTTCCAACTAACCCATCCATATGAAGCCAGAAAATGTGCTTTCCAACATTTGCTCCTGTTTAAATATTCCCACCTCAACAGAACGTACTCCTTGTAGTATGAGCTCTAATTCATATGAGTCTCTGAGACTTTTAGTGGTCCCCAGTTGATGAAATATGCAAACTTAACACAAATTTTTTTTAATGATGAAAGGATGAAAGACCTTATTGCTGATGGAAGCAAATTCCAGGTGTTAAACTATAGCTGAACAGCAATTTCAGGCACAGTAGCAGTCAGCACAAATTATTTCAGACTTGTTTGCCTTATTTTAGTAAAGCCTTCTTATCCTAACACTTTTTTTTTTCCCCAGAAAAAAACAAGCAGGTCTTTTTTTTTTAAAAAAAAATCTCTCAGCTTTGAGAACAATGAATGCAGAGCTCATGTTTTAATTTCCCATACACAGAAAACTGGCATCTTATGAATGTTGAAAAGTAAGTTTATTTCAGGAGTGGCTTCACCACTGAGCAGTTCTCTGTATTTTAAATAATACCTGTTCTTCCTCCGGAGAAGAAAGGGTTGGCTACACCTACAACAGAAAGGAACTGCTGGCCTCAGGGCTTTCAGAAATGAAAAAGGGCATGAAAAAACATTAAATCAAGACTCATGTTTCCAAGGTGCTTTTTATTGCTCTCACTCTGTTTTATAAAAGCCACTGGTAAAACTTGCATTCCCTCCACGGGTACAAATTATTTAGAGGCACAAACACCCTCACTGTGATTTCCTGCGAAACCTTCCAAACCCCTTTCCTGTTTCTTGTACTTGTGTGCTGTACAAGTAGGCAATATTCACCTTTGAGCACAAAAATGTGGTTTCCCGGTTCTCCCTGTCTGATGATGTAGCTCCCTTGCTGGAATGTCCTCTCATACATACATTCCACCATGTCTCGTGTCTGGTGAGGCTCCAGTCTCTTCAGGAACTGGTTTTTATTCAGGGCATCTGTGATGAGCTTCTTCTCACTGGTTGCAAATGAAAAACCACAAAGTTTAAAATGCCCAGCATGGCTGGGGTTTGTTATTCACCAAGCATTCATTCCTCTCAAGAGGAATCCCCTTGTTTCTAACACACTGCTCTGCCTGCCTTGTTGGGACCTTGTGGGGTGGTAGCCTGGTTAGTGAGGGAATTGTTGGTGCTGTAGTCACCTGGTGGAACAATCCCATTGAACAACCTTGTTCTCACTGCTCCCTGAGACAGTCTGAGCACCATCTCCTGTTGTAGTAAATGCATATAAATGGGTGAGCTGTAAAGTCAAGAACTGTCTATATTTGAGCTGCTGGTGGCAGAGCCCAGTGGTTGGATTTTAAGAAGGAGAAAACATGGAAAAAGAAACAATGGATGAATCTGTGGGTAAGGGCTAACCAGCCACAACAAAGCAGGCCATACACAATCTATGGGTTCTGATTGATGTGAGTTCTGGCTCAAGGGCATCCTATAAAGCAGTGCCTCAAGTCCTCACCAGAAATGAAGACAATTAAACAACTTCTGCACTCATGGGGCTTTTATGGCCCTGCTGATAGTTTTCTTTTACTCCTGAAGTGAAAGATACATTCTGCCTTCGAGTCCCCATGCTCCTAATGTTGACAAAGTCAAAACCCTGACAGATTTCTGAGGCATTTAAGGCTTCCTCCTGTTTGTATTCATAAAGCAATGGGAGGTTGTCATCAAAACTAGGTTATGTGGGAAAAATCTCCTGAGGACAATCCAGGAATGAACAAACCTAGGGCACATAAATACACTTACATTATTACTAGTCATGTAATGACTGAAAATAAGTAAAGGTGATGAGATGATGCAGGAAAATAAAACCAAGTAGCTATGGTGAGGACTGTGTTTAGAAATACGAATCATAACTTACCTTCTGCTGAAAGCAACAGGGTTATTGGAATATAAGCTCTAACTTAGTTTTCATCTAAAGCCAACCTTGCTAATTTGATTCATCCTGGCCTGCATCATGTGTACAATACTGCAATAAAATACAGTAATTGCATATAACCTGATATGTGAAATGAGCACAAAAGCTTCCAGAACTATGGAAGAGGAGACTATGCTTCTAAAACTTTCATTAAAATCATCCATGCCGAGATACTCCAAACAAAAGTATGGCACTCAAACTCCCACCATACAAACAGCATCAAATTGTGCCATTTGTTTACAAATATTTCTAAAAGGGACTGGTGACACTCTGGAATCAATGCAAATTCAAGAAGCACGGAGCTTCCCCTCCTTCTAAGGCAGCTCCTTGCACAAGGAGCACTGTAAGGTCACCTTACACAGCAGTGGGGCTGCATTAAGTCCTTTCTCTGTAAAGGGGAGGCAGCTATAGGTAGCAGCAACTCCAAACACCCCGACAGACACTGTCAGGCTAATTGTTCAGTATTTGCTAATTATAGCACACAGAATTCTGCAGACAGTGAAGGTTACTTTGTTCTTATGTGTCTGAACTGCCTGAACTTGACCTACTACAGTATTTACAGACCAGGTAAGGAAACCAAATGTTTGTGCCTTTCATCATTTGGCTGTCTCAACAGCAAGGTGATGGGGTCTTACAAGTGCATGTGTATCACAGGCTTATCTAACTTAAGTTAGACTTATCTAACTCAACTTAGCAATGCACAGCACTACAGCTTTGTGGTGCTTTTTTTGGCATATGTTTGCTTCCAAAATATTTGGAAGATCAAATAACACTTCGAACCACTACAACATCAAAAAATGATGTGCATTACATTTGGATTGCTTAAGCTGCAATACTTGCTTTGGTTCTGGCTGCTGCACTTTGCTAATCCACTGGCCATTCTCCTCATTGCTGTTACAATTCTGTCTCTGAAGGCACCCTAGAAAACCATGTGGTGGACTGCAGTACAAAGATCATGCCAAGGAGAAGACAGGTTACAAACAGAACACTCTGAAAACTATGATTCAAGCTACCCAGGTACTTGTGATAAAATATTAATGCAGCTCCTTTACTCTGGAAAAACACTGCTAGCTGAAGCTCTCAGCTCTTTGTGGTGACTCAGGCAGCCTTTCTGATTCATGAGGTACCCTCTAAGGTGCAGTGGTGGACATGATGGATGAGAAAACACCCCTCATAATTCTCAGGTCTACTATGGTAAAGACTCAGATATGCCATGAATAATAAAGCTCCCCACAAATCTGAAGGCACTAAAGTCACTGGCTGAAGTCCAGGTAGAGTCTGACTACCACCACGTTAAACAGACTCTCAGGTTGTGTCTACAATGCAAGGTAAAAGAGGGTCTAATTTATGCTTAAGGTTACCAGTCTCATATTTCTGTCTGCAAGGTCAGCTCTGACCACAGAGCTTTCTGGGTCTGTCAGAGTCTAGAAGGTGTAATTGGATTCAAAGAGGAACAAGTAAGATTCAGTTCCTACACCATGATTGCTAGAACCTGGAGGGAAGGAGGAAGCTGGCAATAAAGATAAATCCCAAAAAACTGTAAGATTCTCATCTGAAATAGAGGCTGCCCACCACTCTTCATCTGAAGTCTGTGGGACACAGATGATTCTTGGTTAAAGCTACCCACAAGCTCAAACAGAATCTATCACTGCTGCAAAGCCTACATGAAAAGGATGAATACCTTAATCCTGACTTATCGTGAGGAGAGGATATAGTTATAAGTAATAACCTTGTAACACAAACATAGAAGCCCTCTGCAACGAGCTCACCTGGAATCCTTTCGGACTGTTGCTTTTTCAAGGGAAAATATAGTTTGCCTGCTCAAATCACACAGTTGTGTTGTTGGCTCTGCAGATACACCTTCCTTGGCTCCTCTCCTCCTATCAGCAGAGACTTTAAATGGAGAAGGCTGAAGAGAGTGCTCCCCTTGAGTGCTAACAACATCCTGCAGCTTGTTCAACTGTATGCACTTGCTCTGAAGCTCCTTGGTGAGTTCTGCTATGACCTTAGTCTGCATAGCCAGCTGCTCCTGAAGCTCAGCAACATGGCTTCGACTCTCTTGCAACTGCTGATCTTTTCTCTTCAGCTCCTTTTCCAGTTCAAGTACCTTGCTGCAGAGGACATCAGCTTGCCCATTGATCACATTGATGCTCAGGCATGGGTCCATCAGAAACTTGTGGCTGGCAGCACAGCCAATAGCGAGGTTTGCCACATGCCTGTTTGGCTGCCTCAGGTGCTTGGGTTTCACTAATCCGTTCCCCATTTTGTCCAGAGACCTAGGTGGGAAAATAAATCTGCAGTTTTATTTCATTCCTGAAGAAAAAATAAAATTTAGTCATGGAATGTTGAGCAGTGAATTTAGCAATTAGCTGGCAGCTGAATTTGCCATATGCAACTGTAGTAAACACAGCTGATTGCTTTCATCCTCTCCAGTCCTGCAAATCAGCAGAGTAAAGGGCAAGGAAAAGAGGCAGGGAGGGGTGGTAGAAACAAAGCAAAAGATCTCATGGCTCCTACTTCATTTTTGTGAGTTGAAGAGATGTGTAAGCTCCTTTCAGCTTAACAAAGACAAAACAAGCAGTAGAAAGAAGAAAAGCTTGTGCTTGACTGCTAAAGCAAGAAAATTGTTAGAAGCAAAAAATAAAAGTTGGGTCACTTCCCCATTGAGAAATAATTATTGTGTAGAGTAATTTAATTTAATAGACAGACTAATTTTACCAGTGGGTACATACCTGCCTGTCATTAAGGATATGTGATTAGTAAGTATATGTGTTAACACACAGGCAGGTGGCATAATTTCTGCAGCTCACTTACTCATCTAAAACTGGCTCATATTTGTTAGTACAACTGCTGTAGCAGCTGCTACTGCTGTCAAGGAACAATTATCTTTTTACGGGGAATTACACCTTCCCATTGGCTACTGATGAAAAGAGACCAGGAAAAAAAATGGTTCTGGGTTCCGGTCAGAACACACCCATGGCTCAAATGAGCATTTGTTGCAAACCAGCAGCCTTCAGTAGATTTGCAGAGAAGTGATCCACCTTCTTCCTTGGACACAATCTTTGGCATGTTTGATTGGATCATTTCAGGAGGAGCAAGGGATGATGCTGCAGTTGCGGTCAGGCATCAGCAGGCCCAAAGTAGCTCTTAGTCTGCCCCCTGGATGAAGAACCCCTTTTTCAGGCTGAACCTTAAGTGATGTAGATTAAGATAATCTCCTTCACCATTTATTGGAACTGGATAAGAACATGGCCCTGACAAGGTAACTTGGCCAGATGACAAGCTCCAGCAATTTGCTTTTACTTGTTAGTATAATCATACTTTTAACAGATGCACAGTTCTGTTCTGGTTTACAGCCTTCAATGGGTCAGAACTGAAACAGCTGACAAGGTACCTCACATTCCAAATCCAGTTTTCTTTAACATAGTCTTTCTTCTCAGCTCTGTCTTGCTTATTGTGACTTTGAATAATATTTTCGATTTGAGCCAATTTCATAGATGCATTTTGAGAGCTGGTGCTTCAGCCTGTTAACAGAGACACCTCAGTATGTCAGAAATGAGGGCAAATCTGTACTGCACAGGAGAATTTAAATAAATTGCCCATCAGGGTACTGAATCAAATAGCTCTGAAGAGGGACCTGTGTGTCACTGCACAAGGCTTAGCCAAAGATCTTAGCTCAGCATGCAACCATATTTAAAAACAACACCAAACAACAATCAACATAAACTAAAAGTTACAATACAGAGAGGAGATTTTGGGAAACACATAATCACACTGTAGCAGTCCTGCTACTAAAAGCGGTGGCAATCACTGCATTTCAAATAAAGGATATCCGACACACTTTATGTATGGCAGAGTGACTGCCCCAAGGCACAGAAAAATCTACTGTTTGGATTGTACCCAGAAACAGAACAGGTTTACTGTGTGATGTTTGAGGTTCACAATCTATCAGCCTCCCTGGAGTGACAATGTTAGCAGCTTCTGTCTTCCCATTGTATATGCACAGTTAATTGTCAGTGGACAATGGAACAGACAGCCAGATCTGACAGATCCCTGTTTCCACATCGTGCACTGAACTGGCCGCTTGTGTAGGAAATTCCTGTATGTGGCAGGAATCAATAAAAGACTGACAGGTGATTTTGGTAATTCAGCATCATAGTAGCCAATTCTAGCAGAAAACTTAAAGCCTTGCTCTTGACCGGCTTTACCCACAGCTCCGGAGACAAAAGGCACACAGGGCATCCATTGCGCTGTGTTTGGGCACCTCACACGCTCCTTCGAGGTCACTGGGCAGACGGGGCCAGGCTCCGGAGAGACCCAAAACCCACCCGGCAGAGACGGAGGTGTCCGCGCCCGCCGCGGGATGCTCGGGGGATGCTCAGGGAATGCCCGGGGTATGCCCAGGGAATGTTCAGGGAACGCTCAGGGAACGCCCGGGGGATGCCCGGGGGATGCTCAGGGAATGCCCGGGGGGTGCTCAGGGGATGCCCGGGGATGTTCCCGGGGTCCAGCGCCAGCCGAACCCGTGTCCGCCGCAGGCACGCGGGGTGCGGGCGCTGCCGGGCCGGCACCCCGCCCCGCCGGATCCCGGTACCCCCCGGGAGGCCGCGGCTCCCCCGGCCCGGCCTGCCCCTGCCCCCGCCCGCCCGGTGCCGCGGGCCGCCCTCACCTGCGTGCCCGGCTGGAGCGGGGCCGGAGCGCTGCTCCCCGCGGAGCCGGGCTGGGCACGAAGCCGCTGCCGCTCCCTCACGGGCGGCCGGGGATGCGATGCGGCGGGGCCGGGCCGGCCCTCCCTCGGCCCCTCGGTCCCTCCCTCAGCGGTGCGGGGGCGGCGGCCGGGCAGGGCGGGCAGCCCGGGCCGCGCTCGGCGGGGAGGGGCAGCCCGTCCGAGCCGGGCTCACCCCACCTGGCAGAGAGGTAAATGCAGGGCCCAGCTCGGGGCGACAGGTGTTTGTCCTGTTTGCTGTCCGCTGCTCTGTGAGTGTGGGTCTTGGCGTGGCTGCCGGGCACGCAGCTGCAGAGATCCTGCAGCCCTTGTTCTCGCAGGGTGACCCTCAAACATCGCTGCACAGCGTGCGAGGAGCCTGCCCATGTCCTAGGATGTATCTTCACTCAGGCTTGCCCCAGAACGGAGCATTGCCCACGTTCAACATTGACTTCTGGTGGAGTACAGCGTTTCTCTCCCTGAAGGGCTGTTATCTCCTAGCACGTATCTTTATGTCGATTCAAAATATCTGTCTCCAAGGGCTGTTCACCCAAACAGCCTGACAAACCAGGGATGAAAGGATTTTACAACAGGCAAAGAGGTGCATACATACCTCTCCTAGGGATGCTGTCAAGAAGACTTAGTCCAACGACAACCTGTGGTCTCAATGACACTGGCTCTCCAAATTTCTTCTCTACAACTACCCTCTCCTTTTGGGACAGCCCACTTATAAATCTTCCTTTGGTTCCAACAGATCTCAGTGTTCCACAATTTCTGTCCATGTCTGGGATGAAGCAGCTCCATAAATTCTAACAGGATAGGCCCCCAAAAGAAAAAAATGATAAAAAAAAATGCTGGTCACATACATTTCACTACTCAACAGTCTCAAACCAGAAATGTTGTAGTACTCAGTGAAGCACGTGATGAGAAAACTTGTCCCAGTAACCCCTCTGCAAGTGAGCTGCTCTGGGATGCAGCGACTGACTCCAATTCCCTGAGGCAGTTTCTTCTCCTGTAGCAAAGTTGGTAAGAAATGCAGCCAGGAATCCAGAGCCTGCTCCCTCTTTGTGGTACACCTCTGTGAGGTCTTGCTCTTTGCTGATAAGGTGAAAAAAGTAACGGAACGGGAACACCCGGGAGTTCACCTCCCAGAACCTTTTGGAGATCAGCATTCCAGGCTTGAAAGGACTGAGGTGAGCTGCAGGGCATTGTCTGGCCTCATACCTGTGTGGGCAGATCCAGCTGTCACACCTCTTCTAAAAATTCCTTAGATATCTTACAGAACCTTTTTATCCCTTCAGAACTTGTTTCAGGGTAGCAGTAGGTTTGGGAAAAATTAGGGGTCTTTGGTCAAGAAAAATTAGAACTTCATTTGATAGAATTTAGCTTGAAAATTTGGAAAGCCTGCAACTTATTTTGGTGTTATTGTGAAAGAAAAAGCTGTGCAATCATATCACACAAGGCCTATATCCCATAATAACCATTGTCCTATTTGCAAACTGCAGGGGCAGCAATAAACCTGTGAAGCACAACAGGGGTGGCCTGTTGTTAATCCTTTCCATTTGTACTGTTGTCTTAGAGAGAAATAGATGAGACATTTATTGCCATGAAGTGTTGAGGAGCAGGAGCTTGAAAACATGGGGATTTAGATTGTACCCTTCTGCTGCTTTCATGTTTTGTAGCAGAATAAAATTGATGGTGTTAAATGTTGCTTTTTAGGTAGAAATCAAACAGGAATTAGAATATAACAGTGCTTCTGCTTCTTTCGTGCCTTGGGAAATATTTCTTTATTTTAAGAATTTTGCTCTTAATTTTGTGACTAGTTTGTTGAATTGGTAATCTAGAAGAGGGACTTCAAACACAACACAGTCTCACTTGCCCACCCTACTTCCAGAAAGAGTGTTTTGTTTGGGGTTGATCCCTTCTTCCCTTCCACCTCAAATAAAAGTTTTTGGTGTTTTTTTTTTTTTTTTATTGTGGATGTGCGGTTGTTCTTGTGGTTTTGGCTCATATAGTAACATAATTAAAAATCAAACAATTAGAAAAACATTGTTTGAAACCTAAAGCACATCAATAATCTAAGCTCCACTGCTATCAAGGAAAAAAAAAAAAAGCAAGCATGTTTTTAGTGAAAGGTTTTGGAAGCTGTCATGCTGGCTTTGTGAGTTTGCCACCCAGCACCCCTGTCTGCACAGAACTGTAAATAAATGTCTCAAGTCTGTGAATTGGCCTCTTGCACATTGGGTGAGAGAAGCATTTTTGGGACAACACCCTCAGCAAGAGGTGGTGCTGCAGTCCTGGCCTGAGGCTGGGATCACAACAGTGGTTGATCAGGAGGCAGCAGATAACAAGAGAGATCCTGCTTTTCTTTCTGTCCCCATTTGCAAGAAAAAATCTTTCTCCTCAACCTTGTGGGAAAAATAGCTTCTCATCCCGCTAAAATGGTCACTGGGCAAAGTTCACCAAATTTTACTGCCTCTCTTTACAACTGATTGACAGGTTGAATGTTGCTAGGATGTCTTCAGCAGCCTCTTCATGCAGATATGATAACAAAGATTATGGCATACAAAAGAGGAACTCTATGAGAGAAATGGCATTGCTTCTTAATTCCCAAACAGAAACCAGTCTTTAGATTACATGGAAGAATAGATGGTGTTAGGATTCAGTTGTGACCTAGTACACTTTGAAAAGACACTCGTATTTTTTCTAGTTCAACTATCACATATCACATTTCAAAGCATCTTGCTATTGTGGTTACTTTTTGCTCGCAAACCTTTTCTGGTGTTGACCCAGGTCTCATCCTTACATTGAAAAAGTTCTCCTGTGGGACTGCCCATCAAGTCATAAGTTTGAGCAGGCAGGTTAAACAGCCACAGCACTGCTTCCGAGCACTCCCTTTTCCTGGGCACTCTCCAAAGAGATCCATCTCAGTTCAACATCACAGGTGGTGGAAATATAGTCCTGCACTGTGAGATGAAAGCTCACCAGGAGGGCCTGAGGATCATCCCTGCCTCAAGGGTGTTGAGGCCTGGAAAGAAACCTTACAGCTCCCTTTGTACTTTTCCTCCCTGTCACTTTTTGCCTCTTTTAATTTCTTTTCCCAGCTGCTCGTCTCAGTGCTACATTTCAGTTTTCTGTTCGGTGCAGACATCTGGTGGTTGAGCTGGTGATGGCAGCCGAACAAGGGAAGCCAAACAAGGGAGGGCTGCAGGGTCTTTTTTCCTTATACTGTGGCACAGTGATAGGAAAAACAAATTCTGCTTACGCAGCAAGGATTTATTTTCAGTTTAGTTTCCCTTTTACCTTGTTACTAATTTTCTCCCCTCATCAAGCCTCAGGGACCTGCTGGCCCTGGGTGTTTAGAAGAAGGGGCAGACTGTGCCCAACAGATTGCAAGTCACTTCTGCAGTGCAAGTGTGCTCAGAGCAGGAGAGGAGGCTCTTCCAGCAGAGCAAGTGACACCTCCCCAGGCAGAATCTGCTACACAGATGCTCCACAGTGCAAAGAATAGCTTCAGTCAGTTCTGCCAGCTACAGATAACTGCACCCCAATCCTCCCTGAGACAGCCAGGAGCAGTTGGAAGCAGGAATATTTCCAGACAATGTGTGTGGTCCTTTCCAGACCACCTCCATCTGCCTGTAGTCTCCAGCCCCTCTTTTTCTGGGATGTATTTTGTGTATACTTTGGCTCTGTAGTGCAAGAAGAGAAAGGAGCTACACTTCACTTTGTTTTAGTACGTGCTGAAGAACTGCTTACTTAAGACACAGATCCTTCAGTGTATGACACATCTGGAAAGTCATTCAAGCTCCCCCACTGAGATACAGTGCACTAGAACACATATTTATTCTATAAATTGAAAGAAATATGTAGGGTCAGGGACTACTTCATATTCCATCTACTAAATGCGGGATCAACCCTCATTTTACCTTTTCCAGGAAGCACAGCAAAGAGTGAGATCACTTCACCTGAGAGGAGATGAAGTGCTGGAGGTGCCTGGTTCTTTCCAGTGTCTTAATCTACATGTGCAACAACCTGGATTGTAGGTGTGACATCAGGTGAATCTCAGTATACAAAGCTCTTTTGCCCAAAGAGCCCAAGGCAAATGTAACTTGACACAAAAGACTGGTCTCAAGAATGAGCAGATACTCCCTACCTCTGGCTCTGGTCTGTCTCTATCTCTGTTCAGTGTTTCTTCAAAACCTAATGTGTTTCCAAGACAAGCAATTTCCTCAACTTCAGATAACTGTTTTAAGGCCATTTTGCTTTCAAATGTTTGCTGCTGGAAAAGCAGGAGCCAGCCTGTTGCCATGAGCTTACCTACATTATATAATTTGTTCTATAACCAAGCAAATTCCAAATTGTAAACTCGATGGCTCGTCTGCTTACAGGAGTTTGCGGAAGCAATGTGATATCAAACTGATAAATGAACAGACTGAGAAAAGCAGCAAGAATGTGATTGAAATAACATGCAAGAGACAGCACTTAGAACCAATGTTTTTGCATTTGACCAATGACAAGCCTGGGAGAAAGGGGAGAGAGGGAGAATAAATTTATTCATAACCATTTTAATATGCTCATTGGGTTCATTCCCCAAGTACTTGAGTATTTGTTTCCAAAAATTAAATGAGTGCATGATGGCAGACTTGTTGTTTTTTTCTTTACAAAAAACCCTAGAGTTCTTTTTGGGGTTTGCATGTCCCCATCTGCAGTTAAGAGGAAAAAAAGGAATTACAAGAGAACATTTATGTTGAATCATATACCATACATGGCAAATCCCGAGAGAAACATTCAAAGAGTGTAATCTTGACTCAGTAGGACCTAAAATTACAAGGAGATAATTCTGATCATGCTCTCAATGCTCTTCATTCTGCATTTTACTCCATCTCAATCTCAAAATACCTGAACACTTTTCAGTTGGGCATTAAGCAAGATAACATCTGTGCTGAATCTCATTTCCTTTATTCCAAAGAAACCAGCTTTCCAGGTGGTTCAAACCAGGATGTAGTGCCCTACCTGAATCACTGCTTGCTTTTAGCTTTATTTCAATTACAAGGTAGCTATTTCAGGGAAAAAGCTGAGAGAAATGAAGTTGGGCAGGAAATATGCCCCAATAAAATTCATTATGATGCTTAATTCTCATTGGCTTCACACCACATGTTGGCAGAAGTTGAAGAGTGTGGAGATAAAGCAGTTGCTGGCTTCTGGGTATGGTCACAATCCTAACACATTTTTTCTTGGGAACTTTCATTCAATTTTCCTCATCCCATCCCACCCGGCTCTCTGGATTTGTTTCATTTGTATCACAAGAGGGCACCCTGCATCAGACTAAAGTTTCCCCTCCACATCTTGAAAGGCATTAGCTGAAAGCAGGAAAGTTCATGGACTGAAAGGGCTCACAGGAGAGGGGCACTGGAGGAACAGCCAGAGGGACCAGCCGGCTGCACCTGCAATGTCAGTGTCCTCTCCTTGCGTAGGAGGGACAAACACCCACCCTCCTCTCCTGCCACACAGAACAGGACCTCTGCAATTTTTAAAACCCAATTCAAAAGTAGCAGTCTACAGATAAGGGATTTAAACAGGACAGCCACGTAACACTTAACTGAAAAGCCTCTCTCAGTCATGCTGGATAGCTGGAGTGCCTTCTTCACTTCTTTTTACTGAAAGCCAGCTAACTACTGACATACCAACTGGCACTCTTCACAAGACATTGTGTAGCTATGACTTCCCATGGCAGCTAATAAAAAGGAAGGAGTTTTCTTCTTTGAGAAGAAAAGCAGCATTTAAATAATCCAATCAAGTATGCCACTATTATATGAAATGAAATTTGTATAGACAAATATATGGACTTAAATAAATTCCCAGTTCACTTCTAAAGGTGGTGAATGACTGTTTCTTAAGTATAACAAACACCTGATGGAACATCAAAAATACTGTACTGTGTCCTGAAAGTCTGTATTATGAAAGCAACCATCTGGGATAAATCTGAATTGGATTTTGTATGAGGAAAGAAAAATTTTATCTGTTAAAAAGGTAACACTGTGATGCACTGCTCTCATACACTTACCTTCTTCAAACATAATCTACTAATGACATACTCTTTGAACATTGCTCCACAATATATTTTCATTAATCTTTTGTGAAAAACATCTCAACATGTATTGCAATTTTAAGTTCTCACTAAACCTGTTGAAACAGAAATTCACAGATCAGGTCTCCTTAGTGCTCAACCCTCCAAACTCAGCTTGGATCTTCACATGAGACCTGTTCTCTGTGAGGTTGCTTGAGAGTGTGTAATGCTGTAGGCACTTTTTAATGGAGGGGAAACAGCCTCTGAATACCAGTTCTGCTGGTTATCAAACTGAGTCACACAGGGATCAAGGAGCATCACCTGCTGCTTCCTCTAGGCCTGATCGTGAACTGCCAAACAAAAAGAAGTACCAAAAGAATTGTATATTTGCCCAAACAGAAATTAAGGAGAAACAGTAATGTTCTTCATTGTTAGCATCAGAATAGATTGTTACCTTAGCAACAGCAGTAGGAAGAAACACATTGTGTGTAGACAATACTTGTTTTACCTCATGTTTCACATGCCACTTTTCTAAACTTTTCTTACTAATTGCTTGATATTTTTTGTAAACTGCTGTCATCCTTCTAGGTTACTCTTGTTTGCATTGGAGGCTATCTTCTCTAAACTCTGACTCTAAACCTCTGACTCCCTTTACAAGAGAATCACTGTGGGATTTCTGAGTGGAGCTTCGTAGGCAGCAAACCTGAAATTCAACATATGCAAGTCAAACAAATTACTGTAATTTAAACGTTTACTGCTTGCACTTCCTTCTATCCAATACTGCTGGCTACAATTATGTGCTATGCCTCAGGAAAGGGGTGCCAATTCATTTCTTACCAGATTCTCTTTTCTATTACTCTATAGATCCTCTTCTATTTTTTTTAATGGAAAAGCAGAATTCAACTCCTCTGAACTGTCTGGAGGAGAAAAGGGACAAGGGAAAGTCTAACTCCTTCTGAAATAATTTTCTCCCAGCCCTAATTATTTCTGGCTTCCTACATATACCTTTCTCCCAAGAAAAACTCATTTAAAAAGCAGTGAGGCATTCTATACATAAATGCTATTGAGTTATCAGACAATAAAGACTCATTAATTCCAGGAAAGTTATTTAAGCTTTTGACCACTAGGCCAGACTTGGGGGCCTGCAGAAAATCCTGCTGTAACACCAACAGATATTTTGCTTGGTTTATTATTTGCTGGAATACACTGGCTCCAGATGCTGCTTTCCCCTGCAGCTGGAAGTCCACCTAAGAATCATTTCCCCTACCAGCCTCTGGACTTCACAAGACAGAGGAGAAAAGCACTACAAGAAAGCAGATAATCTGGCCCCACAGAATCACTGGCACCCAGACTTCTTTGGCTACATAAATAGCTGATAAAAACCAGCTGCTTTATTCACATTATCTTCTGCATTTTTCTTCCTGAAAAGTAATCTCTGTGAAAGGAGGACACTGTATTTACTTGGCTTACAGTGAGATCTCCTTTTGGGTCACACTGTAAATAAAACTTTCTAATGACGGAGAAAGAAAAAAATCATATTCCACAAGAGCTTTATGCAGCACAGTGTAAGGGTGATGAAGTGTCAGTGGGTACCAAATGATGCCCTTGCTGGCACCAAACCCTCACTGAACTTTATCAGATCTTGGAGTATGAAGTGTCAGCTTAGCACATGCCTTCCCTTCAAGCAGGAAAAATCTGCTACCGACATTAGACAGAGGAGCTGAGAGAAAAAGCAGACACTGGTGCACTAAGAAAGGATTATTCTTCTTTTCCAGCAAAAATACTGCAGAAAGCCCACAAAGGAGTATGCTACACACATGTAGTAAGTGTAAGTGTAGTGGTTTTGGTTTGCTAATTTGAGATTTTCGGCTAACACGCTAATTAACGTAGTGGGTTTAATGCTGGCTAAATGCCAGTGCACTTATTCGAATGATTTTTTTTTGTTTTTGTTTTTGTTTGGGTTTTTTTTGTTGTTGTTTTTGTTTTTGCTGTGAGATAGGAATTAGGAGGACAGCAAAGCAGGCTTAAAACTTTAAAGGGTATAAAGAAAACTTTATTAATAGAAAAGAATGAATAATAAAAATTAAAATAAAACTTTTAGAACACTTTTTTTTCCTCCTATACTTTTAATTGATAATGTAAAGAGACAAAATTTGAGACTTCTAGTTAGTGTACTATTTTCAGAATAGTTTTCTTTTAGTTTTTTTAGGGAGAGGGGTGTCTCTTGATATGCTATGGAGACTTTTCTAGAAGAAATAGATTTCTTGTGGTTTTAATGTCATAGCAAATTAGCTGCTTGGAAAAGGAAAATTTGCAGTGTGAAAGTTTTTTATGCTTTATAGTTGTCTTATATGTTTTTATGTGTTGTTTTTATAGGTTATGTAAACTTATGGGGTACTATTTCAAGGATGAGCTGTTCTAGCATAATAGTTCATCTATCTCTGAGAAACAGAGATTTTCTTTTTTTATTTTTGGGGCAAGGTTTTTTATTTCTCTTTTTTTTTTTTGTTTAAGCTCCTTTTTAGACTGTAATTACTTTAACATCTGTTTGTTTCAGCACTAGTGCTTTACTTATAGCTGTAGCTAGACTGTTACATTGCTCTAATGCATTTTATAAGAAAAAGAGTTTGATATGTCTATTATATTTTTACTATAGCTTTGTAAGAGAATTTTAGCTTAAGACTAAAGCATCTTTTTATTTTCCTCTTATTTGGGATTTTTATTTTTTTTTATTAACTGCAGTGTTTGTGTTGTTTTCAATGTGTGGTTTTTTTTTTTTCCTTACTTACATATAAGGAAAGTCTCCCAGAATGCTAGGGAATATTCCCTTGAGTAGCAGAAGTCTTGGAAAATGAATGGTGTTTTGCCTAATGGCCTGTTTGCCTGTTTTAGTGCTAGATCAAGTAACAGTTTCAGCTCTGTCAAGAACATCTGTCTGGGAAGGCTGACAAAATGCAACACAAATGAAAAATATCCACGTGGATGTAAAGGTTCCTACTTGTTCTTCCAGAGATGACAGCTGTAGATAGGCTCTTGCACATTTTTGCATTCATCTGACTGTTCTTTTCATGGTGACGCCATCAAGATTTTTCCAAACGGGAAAGCAGGGAAATAGCTGGGTGGCAAGGACAGGTATTGCTCTTGTGGGCTTAGCCAGACATCTATAGACTCTTTTGAATAAATTGGTTCACACAGGTCTGTAAGAGGCAGAGTTTTTGTCTCTGCACCACCAGAAGAAAGCGCACCACAAAGAAATAAGTAATGTTTGAGCCATTTGTACAGGAGACATCGTTGTCCCCTCTGCCCCCATTAAGCACTGAGCATCTGTCAGCACTGAGCTGTGATTTTCAGTCCTGCCTGAACACTCAGTTTGTAGAGTTAACGAGTTCTTGTGACTCCTCATTTCTGGGAGTCTGTGATGTTTCCTTTGGGAGCTGCTTGACCATGGAAGAATCAGTCCTTTTCTCTCCCTTTGCTATGGACAGGTGTGAATGGTGCTTTCCACATCAGCAGTTCAACAGCCTGACATAGCTTGGGATGCTCAAAATTAAAGCCCAGCATGGTCTGGCTGCACCAAATTATGGAGAAGAGGGCACAGAGCATGGCAAGGCTCTAACATCAAACACTGAGTTAAATAACGGCTGAAGGAGCAGCTCTGGCTTGCCAGAGGTTTGGGATTTGCATTCCCCTCTCATGCACCAGACATAAGCCTCATGAAGCCCTTAACACCAGGGGAGGCATGTAGAGGGGAGGATAGGAAAGATCTCACCTGATGAAAGCTGGGAGGCAAGGCTATGCACAGCAGAAGCAGTTTTCTCCTTTCCAAGAGTTGGCCTCTTGTTCCTCCTTTCCCCTAACACAGGGAATGGGAAAGGAGGAGAGGAAACCTTCTCTCTCAGGGCTTGAGGCCCTGGTGAGAAGGGAATTCCTTGTGGAATATGTAACTCAGAGACTTCCAGTACCTTGTTTCAGCAAACAGGCTGTAGTTAAGGACAGTATCCCCATTAACAAAGGCTACCTCAACATGTTACTATGGAATTCAAAATAAAAATGTATGCCTGAAAAGGTACAGACAGAACATAAAAACCTCCTTACCTGAAAACTCAAGAGATGCAGTGCAACAAATAAATATATTTATTCTTATTTTTTCCTTTTTTTTTTTTTTAACAACAGCAGCAGAATCATTGCAAATAGGGTTTTTTTTTTTTGCCAAGTATGTAGTTTGCTTATTGATTTTTGCATCCAGGGTGATCTATAGCTACAGCTTAGTTTTGTATTTCTTTTTCAATCAGGTTCCTCCTAGGATAGAGTGACTAAGTATTCACAGCTACTAAAAATGTATTAAGTGTGTAACACAGTGAACTACTTCACAGTCATAAACATAATCCCTAAAGCAAACACACAGGAAGACTGTTTTGTTCATAGCTGGAGCTGAGAAGAAGCCTCTTTTTTTTTCTTTTTGGCCTCTTGCTGTTTCAGTCAAAGTGGATTGTGTTCTCCACTGTTACCCTTTCAAAAAAAAAAAAGGTAGCTACAAAAATTACTTAATAAAAACATACTCTCATATTTCAACAGTTTTTATGCCAGTTTCTCAATGACTATTCTAGAAAAGTCAGCTTGTTCAACCTAATATAAGAAGGTCAAGTATGGAAAATCAAGATTAAGAAAATCTCACAGTAATAACTGTGTCTGTAGCATGTAGTGGTTAGTTGTAAAGAAGTGAACAAAAGAAAAAGCCTCCCCTAGAAGTTGTGGAGCTACATAGCTACTATCTTTTTATAGGTGTATTTTCTACCACAGCCTTTTTATTACTTTATATTTTTTAAATAACTTAAAATAATAATGAGTTTGCCTGCCCGCAGCCAACTCAAAAACACATTGGAAAAAGACAAAAAACCCAACCACCATTACAGTGGTAGGCAGAAATTCTCCTCAGCAGCCAATTTTTGTGTCCAGTCCTTTCCCTTCTTAGCAATCCCAAACTTCTGGGATATATTCAGCTTAATAGGAATGACAGCTCTTCAATGCAGACTTGGGTTTCACCAAAAGGAATGGTGAACATTTCTCCCCTGTAACCTCCTGCGAGTCCTTCTAGCAGCTCTGCAGAGTCCTTGTAGCAGCAAGCTGCAGCAGAAGGAAAGGAAAGAATATTCCATCCAGGTGTGAAATGATTCACAGGCACCATCTGAGATCTTCAAAGGATTCTCAATCAATACTTCACCCTGAATCCCAGATGAGTGGGCTGTGATTTTGTCTCATCTGTCAGATGGGAGAAGCTGCCTGTTTGTTCTTGAATTAACTTCTTTCATCTCTGCTGCCACAATACTGCAACTGACTGCACATCTTTCATCATTCTGAGCACCACTCAGTGCACAGAAAAATAAACCAAGCCACGGCCCTTGGCAATCCATGTAACACAGCAACAGCAGACGTGGTGTGCTCTAGACTCTGCCCAGAAGTGTTGACCTGAAAGGCAGAGGGAAATGCAAATGGGTAAAGGCAAGCATCAGAATGATGTAAATCTTCTCAGACAGAGTGACTATCATAAGGAAGCTGTGAAACTGAGATTCCAGTTACTACAGGTTTTCATCTTGTCACCACGGGTAACGTGGAATGTCTGTGCCCTGATGTAACTCTCTTCCTGTCTTCTCCTCAAAATGAGTGGAATCAATCAGATGGAATTGTTACATCCCCTGCCTCAACGGTTCATGTATCCCAACACAATTAGTAAAATCAAAGAGCTGGTGAGGCTGCATTCTAATAGCAGTAGAAGAAAAGCCAAAAATATGACTTTGCTGAATATTTTTACCCAGCCTGAACTCTAAATTGTTAACTGGTTTCATTTATGCATTTGCCCCAGAGTTATCTTTAGGCAAACCTCAGCCCTGTCTCAAAGGCTGGTGCAGAAAGGGATGCAGAAGCTGTGAAAACATCTGTGTGGAATCCAGAGCGCTCTGTATAGTACTCGTGGAGAAGTGAGGATTTCTTGAGAGTTTAAAAAGTACTTTCTTCCTTCACTGAGTAATACAAGGAATTAAAATACAAAATTACTTATTCTAATTTCCATTTCCTAAGGGAAAGAAGGACAGAGAGGTTTTAAGATAAAGACTGATTGTTCTGTTTTTTCCAGGAGTCCAAGAGATTGGGGTGGGGGGGGATTTACAACCATGCTGTACCCCATCTGTTGACACATGTAACACTCCATTTGGTTTTAACTGCTTGATGCTTGCTCTGTATCCCATTCTATTTATTTATTGATCCGGGTAACCTCTGACACAAACCTTAGTGTCTTCCATCTGTCCTTTTCAATGTGGTTCTCAGGACCTTCACTTTCATAGGAAGCCAAGTAAAGTGCTGCAATCAGAAGCAAATACATTATGTTAGGCCTACAGGCATTTTAAAATTTGCTCTCCCTGCAAAGCAGACTGAGTTAAATGAAGCAGGAATGTATTATCCATCCCTCAGTTTAGGGCTTCAGAATCCCATTAGGAAGTACAGCATTGCTTATAATTGCACCCAGACAATGCTAACAAACTGTGCCTGAGAACAAAGACTACCCTGAGGGGGGAAAAACCAACCAGCGGAAACTCAAAAGCATGAGGAGAAGAAAGCACTCAAGAGAAAATAAAATGAGCCCAGGGACATGGTGCTTTGTAAGTAGCCAGTGAAGTCCCTATTTTCTTCCTTAAGCAGCACCCTTTAGTGCAAAGTATCCTGAAAGTCCACATAAATACATTTCATGTGACATTTACAGGGACCATATCACATTAGTTCATTCTATTTCAGAACCAATGTTGATCCTCACAGACTATGTGCACATAAAAGAAAAATCTTATATTCTCTGTCATTTGTAAGGGAGGAACATTTTTCACTTGCCAGACAGAGATGTCCTCAGGACAGTCTTTCCTTACTGTGAGGAAGCCACAAATTAAAACAGAAAGAGTTTAAGCAGTAGCCAGTGACACCACCCCAGCAGAAGTCCAGAGCTCCTTACCATCATCACTGAAGACTGGGACAGAGAGCAAGTACTGCAGAATCTTCCAATCCCTTTCAAAAGGACACTCCACTTGCTTCCATGTCATAAATTCACTGACTTGTTTTGCCAATTCCCAAAATTTCTGTCAGAATACAAAGCAGAAGAGGTGCTATATATTGAACAGCACTGCTTACCCCAAACATTTTTTTAAAAAGAGGGAAAAATCTGGGAGACCAAGGCTTCGATTGTCCTTGGCTTTTAACATAGAATGGAGCATGATCTCAGCTGAATTGATCAACAACTCAGCTTCTAACTTTTGTGTTCCTGTTTCAAGCTATGGTAACTTCCCACTTCCTCACCTTGCTAAAATTGCTGTTGTGAATACAAATACAGTAGATCATTAAGTGCACTTAATTTTTCTTTTCAAGGAGCTGGTAACACTCCTTATGCCCAAATTTTAACTTCGTTGATGCTCACACTTTTTCTTTTGTAATTTAAATACATAGTGATTTTCACATCACATGCTTAATACTGACATTTCAAAATCCAGATGTTTCCTGTCAGTTACCAAATATGAAACACTCTATTTTCTTCCTGGAAATGTATGCCAAAAACAAACATTCCCCATGTAGTGTGCTGATGCCATTATTTGATAAGTTCTTTCAATTAAAGTTTAACATGCCACAAGTGCACATGGATTCCTTGAGCAAAAGGGTATTCCAGGTGATTGCACAGCCTAGTTTTAGAACCTTTAGGCTAATTCAGGCCTATGACTACAACTGAAATGTACTGCACTTTTGTGTGGATGACCCTGGCTTCCTGAAAACTGAAAGTACCAGGAAACAAATCATTGGTAACTCACCCTGTGTATGACAACAAGCATGAAATCAGAGGCAGAAAAACTACTGGAAGACAAGAGAGTCAAAACTCCCTTGGTGCTGCACTATCACATATTTCTTCAGCGACAATCTGGGACTTACATGCATGAAAATGCTGCCTATATATCTTGATAAAGGAAGAACTTGCTTTTCATGTGAGGAATTAAAAGACAAAGCCCTAAAATACTAATCTAAACATTTCGTCATTAACTATAAAAACCTGTGAATTGAAATGTTGAGATGAATTTGAGCATGGGGAAGAAGTTCTTTTTTCCCCCTCACTAAAGAAACTGGGAATATTGAAAGTTTCTATAAACACTCCATCTTTGATAAAACTTCCATATTGCTTTTTCAATACAGCAATAACAGATATACTCAAATTCCAGTCTATGTTTGCTCTCCCAGAACCCAGTGGAAATTAAACAGTGATCTGTGCTTCAGTTTTCTGTTAAAGGGGCTGACCCTGCATTAAAACCCCACTCAGTGCTCCACTTACCTCAAAATTGATGTGACCATTGGGAAGGCGATTGGCAGAACCCTCATTGAGGAAGTAAATATCTTTGATCAAGAGGCTGAAGAAAGGTATCACGATCTAGGAAGAGAGCAGCATTGTTATCAGTCTGCTTCTGAATCAAGACACAATGGTCTACAGAGAAAAATGAAAGGAAGTCAGGTGACACAGAAGGTAAGCACAATACAGAAGGACTAAGGATTCTACATCTTTACACAACAACTGCGCATTCACTACATTTTAAAATACAAGTCTCTTCACAAAGTCCTCCATTCCTATGTCATGTCCTTATGATTTTTCATTTTTTCCTTCTTCCTTGCAGATTCCAGAAGATAAATGGTCAGAGACACCTACTTCTTACATGTAATTCCTGCAGGGTATCTCATAGTGTATCTTTCCCTCTTGACAGGACTTGCTTGGTAAACAAGGGGAGATGCACATTGAAGCACAGCAGGGAATATTGGGGTAGCAGCACAAATGGTTTGAGCTACAATTCCCTGAGCTCATGCAAGTCATGGAACCTTGGTACTTATTGGCTTAAAATTAAGCATTTCCTGCCAACTGAACAAAGTATTTTCTTTGGAGAATGCTGGAGAATTTTACTTAAAATGGTTCTATTTTAATTTTCATCCTATGGAAGTTTTCACAGCTACACATACAGCTTGTTACAATTGGGGATAAAACAAATACCACTTATTATTTCCATGGAAAACTTCACTGCACCATATTTCACTATCTTTAGATTTTTTCTTTGAAGTCTTAAAACTGATTTTTCTGTGAAAAGAAGTAAGCCTCTTCCACTTAGACTTCTGGTACTTTGAATGACATGTGAACAGATCCTTAGGACTCAGAAAGACATTCCATGTATAACAACAGTGTAGATCAGTAGACTGCACATGGATTTGCTTAATCTGCCTGGTAGTTTATTCCATTAACTCCGAGATCACGTTTATTCAACACAGCATGAAGTTGTAATATCATAAGGAGTTGATGAGCAATTGCTTCCAAGTGGGGAGCAGCTGGCAAGCTATTTGATTTCTTTCCACAAGAACTACCACTGAGATTCTGCATCTAAAGACTATACACAGGAAAGGAACGCCACAGCTCTGTCTAGATTCGAGGTTTAGAATACCTTTTATGAGTAAGTTTTAAAGCCTTTCCACCTTAAGCCATGAATTACTGGAAGTTCAGCACAAGCAGCAGCTTTAAGAACAAATTACTAGCAACCTCCTGTCTGTCCTTAGCCTTTCTGTTTGTGATATGGGTTTGTGAGATAGAGGTGTCTGTCAAACAGAAACAAGCTGAGGCAATGTACTTATTTCACTTAAATAATCAAAGTGATCATTTAATGTTTGGACTTTCAGCCAGCACCAAACTGATCTGGCAGCTTTTTATAAGCTCACCAGGGGTAGAGTTGCTGAGAGTGAGAATTCCATGATAAAGGTTTACCATGCAACTTAACAAGCACATTTCCCTTTTGCCCACTGCCAAGTCATTTGCAAACACACCTTCTCTCTGCTGCTGTGAGCTGTCAGGGACCTCTGAGTGGCTCCACGCAGAGCAGTTCGGTAATTGTAAAAATTGCTGGAAGGGTCCATCTGATGCTGCAAGGCATGAAAAGATGCAAATAATGAATGAGGTACACACAATTCTTTTTCAACTGAGCAACTCTTAAATAGGAAAAGGTCTTCTGAACAGCCCCACAAATGCAGCTTTGTAGAGGACTGAGGTATTGCTCTGTCTGTTCATTTGACCAGAAGAAAACCTTGTTTTTTAAAATGTCCATTCAGCACAACAAGGGACCCAGTACATTCTCTTGGACAAATCACAAACTCATATAGTGCTGCACCTGCATGATCTTTGACAAAAGTCAGCTGGACAAAATCCATTAAGAGCACAAATATACTAAATTAAATGTCATAATTAAGCCAAACTCACATTTTTGAGCAGTTAAAAGTAACAAGGTATTAATAGCCTCCTGTCCAAATATTAGCCAGATTTACCTCAAGAATATCAAATTTGGCTGTCTTCACTTTTGCCCAGGTTTTCTTTAATCGAGACACAGGACTCATGTTCATGCCAGCTTGATATAAGAGAAAGAGATTGTTACAGTATTTAAAAGAAAAAAATGTTTCAGGTAGCTTGGACCAGTACGTATTTATAAAGCAAAGAATCTATTACTGATAACAAGTATTTTCAAAGGAGCTACTCAAGAAATCAGAGTCATTGTTTCCTTCAAATTCCAAAATAACCTTGGAAACAAAATCTTCATCTCTTACAGAATGAAAGCTCTAAAAAAATGCTATGACATTATTTAATGTGGATTTGATAAAACATGTATATACAATAGAAAAGCTCAAATGAGTGTTCTGAACATCATCTCTTACACAATTCATTGAAAACTACACATAACTATGAAGTTCTCACATTTCAAATGAAAAAAGAATCTTCCCAGTATTTTCCTACCAGCTATAAAGAGGTGCGGAATTTTTAAACAACTAGGACATGACAGAAAAGATGGAAGACATTTCAATTCTCCATATTACAGGGAAAGTTACTATTCCAATTTAGCACTGAAGTTGGTTTCAGAAAGTGGGGACTTAGATCTCTGAAGAGTTGCAAAGAAAACTTTGATTTACGCCAACTTTATACTACACAAAACAGTGTTGAGCAGCTTCATGCTGCTGACCAAGCTCAGCAGTAGACTTCTGTGTGAATCTTTTATCCAGATTTAAACAGGGATAAAAAAACATCTCAGTACACATACTTACAAATAATAGCCATTAAGGAATTGAAGTTGCCAATGTTAAAACATTCCCGTGCCACATCGATGAAATATTCTATCACTCTTGCTCTGTGCTTCTTCTTCACAGGCTGCAAGAGATGCATTTGTAGGGTTACATTCAGCAGGAAACAGCACTTGGACACATCCCCAAAGAAATAAGACCCCTGTTAAAAGTCTTTTCCACATGTACCACAGCTTCACACTATCCTTAACATGCAGAGGAAGTTACACTATTTGTGTTCAGAAGCATTCAGGACAGCAAGGACAAACCAGATCCCGGGCAGGCAGAGAGCAAGGACAACAGGCAAAGAGGCTCTGCCAAGAAGAAAGATATGAAGAACAGCAGAGCAGAGTAGAGGGTCAGCCAGAGGAGAGAATGTGCCTCAATTCACAAGGGCCTTCCAGAGAAGAGAACAGCAGGCCAGACATGCTCACGTACCAAGAAGGGCTAACCCAGAATAAATCATCACTGTCACACGAACAAGGCTGAGGAACCAGAATAATGCTAAAAACACTGAACTTATTTCCTCTTCAGACGTGCTCTGACTGCATCCAAATGTCAACAATTACAGAACCAAGCCAATGAAAAGTCCAAAAGGCACCAAACTTGAAAAGGCTTCACAGTTTTAGATAACTAAACAAAACCCTCCAGCACAAAAAGTCCTTGCTCACCATACAGATTTCTGTTGCAACCAAGTAACTGAGCCTGTTAAACCACTCCACATAGGCTTCAAGATTCCGAGTCTTCTTTCCATCTCCGTAGCAGCTCTACAGATAGAAATACAATAGCAACTTTTAGCACCGTTTTAATCTTTTCCCTGGGAGATCTTTTGGCTTTCTGCCTTGCCATTCCCAAACATTGTCAAGTAACCAGGAATAACTCACATCACCCAAAGTGACAAAAAACCTTAGAGGGAAAGCAGCAGTGGTAGTATTCAAGCATGTGTAACTTCCTTCTGAGCTGTGGGTCCAGTAAAGCACTCCAGCACGCACGTGGAATGCTTTAAGTCCTACTGGGATGCTTTAAGGAGCTAAGACAGACTTATGCAAACAATCAGGGATAAACATCTGCATAAAGCTCTCTTGAATGTGCACACTGTTTCAGTCTTTACTCCTATCCCTCTGATAGAGTAGATAAAACATTAGGCTCTCTGCAAGTGCAGCAGGAAAACAGAGGTCAGGCACATTATGTTTGGCTGTTGATGATAAATGGACATACTGCATCCTAAGTTTGGGAGATCAGCTCTACTATTTTGATGGGATTATCCCTTTCCTGAGCAGTGCTATGCTGTATCACCTTGGAATCATTCCCACACCACATCTCAGGGCTGCCTAAAAATGGGTGGACAGCAGTTTCAGTGATCTCTATCTGGAAAAACAATTCCAGAGACCATCTGACTGAACATCAAATTGTAAACTTGCATCATTCTATTCTGTTTGTCAGTTTAAAGATAATTCAAGTTTTAATGGACTGACTCTGTCACAGTTTATTTACAGAGGTTAAGTAATCTTGAAAAATGTAAGAAACTAAGTCATTTTGAAAACAGCACTCAAAGAGATGACAAATCTATCACGGCTGGTTAAAAACACTGCATATTTGTCCTCCATCTCACATAGATCTAGAGCCCTCTGCGGTCTTTTTGTTTTGTCTACTTGCTCTACCTGTAAACTCCCCCGTGTGCCACTTGGCTGCAAAGAGTTCAGTTTACTAAAAAGGAAGAACAGATGTTGAAAATGAATAATGCAGAAGGCAAAGTTAAACTCAGCTTCTTCCAGCTGTAGGCCACATAAATGGCCTGGGGAAAACTTTCACAGGATTAAGTTCTCCCTTTGCTTAAGTCAGAAAACCCAGGAAATGTTTTCATTTAAGTAAATTTGTTGGCTGAGTTCTCAAGCTTCAGGAGTTGTACTCCAGAAAGAAAAAAAAAATTCACAAAATGTTTAATGGGAATACCAAAACTTGTTTTCTACTGGTCCTCATTTATTGCTGAACCTCACTTCCAGCTCATGGTGCACCTGATGGTAAATGATGCATTTCAGAGCTGCTCCAGATCTGCTCCCATTACCTTGTCATTATTCAAAGGATCCTTTTGCACAAACGCCTGGATAAATTCTTCTGGTCCAATATAATTGAGTCTCTCCTAAATAAAGCACAGAAGCAGCCAAGTCATATCCCCTGTTAACCTGCACTTCAAAAAGAGGGGAGGGATGAAGTCATCCCCGGGAGTGTAACAACTCACAAGCTCTATGTGCGTCAGCTGCTGAGCTAACACATAGGGATCATTGCAGACTGTGATTATGTCCCTCTGCATGGACTGGGGCTTGGTCTTCAGGAGCGTGAGGCGATCTGTGGATGTGGTGGCATCAATTTTGGCAAGCACCTCCTCGTACTGGGTCACTGCGGCCAGCTTCCGAATCAGGTTCTGCAGGAGCTGCTGCACGTTCTTCCGGTACATCTGTTTCAACATCAAACAATCAGAAAACACCTCCAAATGTGAGAAGACAGCATTAAAATCTGCATGACACCACAAGAGATGGATGCTGACGTCTGTATTTGTTGTCAAGATAAGCTCTATTATGTGAATTTGTAATATTAGCATCTCATCAGACCAAAAGGAATCCAGCTGAGGGTTTAAGCAGGGATTGTCTCACACTGTCAATATCAACCCAGTTAGCTCAAATAAAAGATCTGTTCAATCCACTCCCTGAAAAGCACCAACCACCACTGGAGGAAATACAAGAAGTAAAAATACTCCATCTTCTCCTGCTGGTGGTCTTAATCACAGAAAAAAACAAAAACGTGGCCATCCAGTGATAAACAAAGGGCCTGCTTCTCTCTGCAGCAAATCATGACCAGTTTCACCAAAGTCAGAGCTCAAACTTGCAGTGAATCTCAGGAAAAGGAGAAGATAATAAAATCACCTCTCTCTTCCTTTGCCTTTGCAGGCCTTTCCAGGTAGTGATTTAAGTTACCAGGAGTGACAATTTAAAGTAGGAGCAGAACTCAACTCTTAAGTAGATAAATCTGTGTAACCAAGGGGGTTACTCTTCCAGATTCCACATATCATCCTCAAGCCATTAAATCAAAGCCTAAGTGGCTTCAAAAAGGATAATCCAAAAACTACTGTCTGCACACTATAGTATGATCAGTCCAAGGCAGCAGTATTTCCTTCATTCTGATGAATTTGGCCTTTTCTCCAAAGATTTTTCCAAATATGCTGTTTTAAAGGAGACATATGTTACTGTGGTGAGAAGTTTGACTCTTACTACCAGCTCTTAAAAGAACTGGAAGTGGAATTCAGGATGTGGAATAAGAAGCTATAAGTAGAACTGTAGTGAACAGGAGTAGGAAACTGCTTCTTTTGTATCCTTTAAGGTAATGACTCACAAAAATCCAAGTGATCTGTGGAAAAGCAAGGTCAAGGAAGTTGCCATTTACTGCTCCAAGCAGTTCACAATAAAACAAGTCAATTTACTGCAGTGCTTGCTTTAACTTTGTCTTTCTAAAGGAAACATCAAAGTCAAAAAAACCTCAAAGCTACAGCTAGAAAGGATTTATAGTTCTCTGAGTAAGACTGCTCCCTTTGCACAGTTTCTAGCAGCTTTGTACATCTGCCTTTCCCTTCAATAGACGATTTCACTGTTTAAACTGTTTGTAGTGCCAGAAACTTCGTTGCAGACAACCCTTCCCTCTTCTCATTTCATTCTTCCATCCACCCGCTCAACTTCCTCCAGGCTAAGCAGCTCTTTTTCTTTGACCAGTGAGTATTTTTCAAGTGGGTGTGAGTCCTCAATTGCAACTACTTTGCCTGGAACTGAACTTCAGTTTCCTACCTTGCTGTGAAGAGTATCTAGAAACAAAGCAACCTGGCACCCCTGGAGTGAGGGCACACCTCTTGCCTCCTCCCAGTCCAAAGCTCCCTGGAGCTATCTTGCAACCTTCAGCGTGCACATCAAATTGTGTCTCTTTTTCGTTTGTATTCCATACCACATCTCACTCTCTTGTCCCATCTTCTTCTGTCCCTCCCCACTTTGACAACATCAAAGCTTCCAAGTTCAGTTTAGGTTTGTTCTTTTCCATGCTTGTGTACAGCCTCTCAAAGCCCTTCTAGGCCTTTGGCAGCACTTTCAGCTTCTCTGAGTCCAGCTTACCTCCACGCCTGTTAATGTGCTGTTTGCTGCCTCATCCACACCATTACTTAAAAGCTTATATAAGGAACACTGATCCCTGAGGAACACTGGAAACACAATGCCATTTAGCAATTCTATTTGTGTTTATAGTTCTTCCAAACGCCACTCCAGTGTCTTTTGCAATGGCAGTATTATGCCAGCTACACAGGATTTACTTACTGAAACCTTGTTAATTCCCTTCCACTAAGTAAATATAACCCTTGGCTTTTGGCCGAGTTTATTTCAGTACTTAAAAGACAAGCAGCAGTTAAGCATCAAAATATTTCATAATATCCATGTGGAACTTCCATCTGAAAAGTGGGATTTTGAGATTTCCTTGTGTGCTCCATCCACAGGAAGGAACAGGACAGACTTCCTCTGAGTTGATACTTTAAGCTCAAGACAATTCTTCCTGGTACCCTTCTCTTTTGGAAATATCTCCCCAAACCTGCTATAACTTTTCCATTGACCTACAGGTCAAAGGCCCAATTCCAGCACACTTTACTCAAGAAATTATCAACACTGATATGGATTTCTCAACTAGCTTCTTGTCCTAGCTAGCTTCTTCCAAGTAAAATGATAAATACTAACACCCACAAAGTTGTGCCTGTCTGCACAAAATGGGATTATGTTATGGGCTTAGAGGTGGAGAGAACCTTGCCGGTGCTTTGGAGAAGATCTGCTTATGCTGTGTGGTTTCATCCTAGGCTTAGGTGCCAGACACAACTTTTTGCCTACTAGCACCTTGGTAATAAGTTTTCCTAAGCACCCAGAGCCACACCATGCTCTTAACAGCAATATCAAAGCAGTAATAGGAATGCCTTTTTATCCAGTAACTTTGTGTGCAGACAAACTTACCTCATCCCCACTGGCTATTCTTTGTGCCAACTCCTTTAAGTTCCTCATCATTCTTTCATCTCGGAAATCATAAGGAAAAGTCTCTGTCCACTCAGTCAACAACTGTAGGATTTTTGGTGCAATTTTCTGGATCCAGTTCTATTTGGAAACAGTAGTGAGGAATGTTACACGTAACAGCAATGCAGGAAATATCTAGCTTAAAGGAAATAGAATTCTGCTCTGCAGGATACTGTGGAGTGTAAGAGTATGGATGTCAGGTGTATTTTAATCTTAACTTCATTCAGCATTGGATTATAGGCCAGAGCCAATGGCCATGGAAGCCAATGAAGAGACTCTCATTGGCTTAGCTGACCTGGAAATTAAGCTTCAGGTGGGTGGAAATGACTCCCCTCGTTATCAGGAGTGCCTCAGTGCAAGGCATTGATTAGTGTTCTTTAACTTATGACTAACCCTCAACAAAGAAAGTGGTAAATTTCAGTTGTGCCACGACCTATGCATGCACTACACCTCATAGGGAGAAACCTGTAAACAGACAGAGAAGGGGTGCTGAGGAGATGTGGGGTCAGAGGCTGCCTTGGGCATAGTGACCACAAAATGATTTTTGATTCTTGGTAAAATAAGGTCAAGGGTCAACAAAACCTCTGCCTTGGACTTTCAGAGGGCAGATTTCCGTCTGTTCAGGTTCACAGAGTCTCTTGGTAAAACAAACAGTGCAGCAGAAGCAGCAGCCCTCATGCAGGACAGGCTGAGCAGTGTGGAAATTCCCCACGAATCTCAGTGAATAAAGGGTAAAATTCTAATTGCTTGCATCAGGTTTTTAATCTGTTCTATCCCTCTGAGGACCCTCTTGAATAGGAGCATTTTGGTTTGGGCAGGGACCTGGGAAGTTCCTGAGAGTGTGGGATCTTACCTTGTCCAGGGCAGGCTCCCTGAGTCTCTGCTGCTCAGTGCACAGCTGGCAGACTTTGGCCATGAGCTCGTAGGGGTGCAGGAAGAGGCGGGAGCTGAGGAGGAAAGTGAAGATGTACGTCCTCTGTGGAAAAGAGGAAGACAGAAAAAAGCATAAATTATCAGCATTTTTTACATTTTCTTGAAATGCCTTGCTGAAAAATCTGCTCCTCGTACTGTACTATCTGCAGAAGAAAACTCTATATGTGGCTGTGCCAAAAGCAATTACTACAGAGGTAAGCATTTAATTTAACATTATCATTGCTCCAGAACCAGTATTATAAGTTTGTGCTCAAGCCAAGTTATGCAACATTAAACCAAAACAAGGCAGGGCAAAGGTAGTTTAGCTCTCCTATTGCACACAGCCTTATTGCAAGCTTATTACCTGAAATTACTCAGAATAAAATTTCAACTCATCTTCTCCAGCCCTACAGTAAACCTTTATCTCCTGGGTGAAAGTGGAGGGAACTACATAGCTTAATTTCACACAGTAAAAATCAGTAACTGATTGTGAGGCTACAAGAAGAGGCTCCTTATTTTGCTTCGATTTTCCATGTATCATGATTTGAACTCATTGTGATATGGATATTCAAAATATCCATTCCACTTTCCACTTTGCCAGTAGTTAAGTATCTATGGCACCCACTCTACAAAGACTCTACAATGTTCTGGCTCTAGAAACTTGGAATAAATCATCATGTTTGACCAACCAGTGTCTATATTGAAGTTTACGCTAAGCATTAAGCACTAGCTTAAGTACTGTTTTGTACTGCTGTTAATTCTGACCCAAGTTAAAAAAGATCCTGTCTTGGAAATGTGTACAGATCTATGATAATAACAGAAGCTGAACATAAGCAGAGTTATATCTTCAGCAGGAGCATGTAGACAAGTAGAGCTACAGTTTCATCATCCACCATTTATCCCCTTTTTGCCACCTTTTGATACCATTCTTTTTTATCTTCTTTTCTAAGAATTATAGAAAATGTCTCAATGCATGGATGTGCCCACACAGGTCAAAAATTCTCAAATGACAAACTTCCTGTTGTCACATCCAGCCTCTGCTGATCCTAAATAGTGTGGTACTAGTTCAGCATTCTGGTTGCTTATTTCAAGTACACATCGACCTCAGGTAAACTATGGGAAACATGCATTAAAAACCACTTGGTTTGGCAATAAATACTTTCATTCTGTCACAATGGTGGTCATGCCTTTCTCTTCAGCTTGCCTGGCAGCATTTTTGAGGGTCAATGGTACACACAGTCCATCAAGCAATAAGCCAGCCTAGGTGTGTGCTTTATAAATGAGTCATCAGGTTGCTCACCTCACAACAGGAGTAATAAAGCATTAGACTTCCTAGACTGGGTGAGTTATTGCAGGATGCACTCAGGTAAAGCACATGTTACACTGCTGGTCAGCCTCCTGTACCCTTTCCTTAGCTATGGATGTGACAAATTCTGCTCCTGCTGCACATGTTTCCCTTTAGGAGACACATCAGGCCTGGCCACACAGCTAACTTACATCAGGATAGTAATCCACATTGGGCACCAAGTGCTGGATCAGAGCTTCCAGAGACCCCGACAGGAGATTGTTGTTGTGGTAGTAGAGCCCTCCACAATTGTCTTCTTTAGTCTGATACAGGTTCCTGTTGTAGCTGCTGCTGTCAAACATCGCTGCAAAGGGAGGTGTCTGTGGCATCTTGCCCTGAAGAGACACACAAAAGAGATAAGGGTTAATTCAGAGAAGGTACAATCTAAGGGGTTTTCTATCTTCCAGAGATAATACAGCACTAGAAAAAAACTCAGTGTCATGCCACGGGTTACTTGCACACAGTGAAGACTGTACTGTTTTCAAGCCTGTGCAGACTCCTCAGGAAAGGGCCAACACAGGCTTTCACCACTGCGTGTCACAATTGCCAGGTGCTTCTTTTATATCTTGCTGTTTCTTTATTAAATGACAGATAAGATGTCCAGGCTAAGAATTAGAAGGAGGTACAAAAATCCTAACAGGCTTTGGGAACTCAGACTTTCTATAACGCTTTTGGGGATGTGGCATAAGGTTCACTTTGGTCAAATTCTGCAAGTAGCTCCCTAAGAGCAGCACCCTGAAGAGGAAGCGGGTTCAGGCTGTCCCAGGCTGACACCCCTCAGTGCCAGTGCAGAAGGAGAGAGACTGAAGTGAAGCCCTGAAAAGGTTATGAGAGAGGACAGTCTCCTTTATGCAACACGACAGCCATGCAACTGCAATCCCAAACCTCCCACTTTCCAACTCCACCCTGGTAAATTGGTGCTTGGTTTTCCCAATAACACTGTGACAGGTGTGACCCAGGCTAAAGCCTGATGCTTCAGTGCATCTGCCTCCACCTACTCTCTGAGTGGCTCTACAGAAATTTGGAAAAAACTTGCCTAGGCATAGTTGCTTACCACTGTTGTCCAAGTTCACCAACGATATAAAAGATGAGATCAGATTCAGAGTTTTGTTAAACCTTCTCCCCAAATTCTGTGAAAATGTGAAAAAATCCAGCCCTGTGTTTCCCAGCTTTAGGAAAAATAAAGCAATTACTCATCAGTCTGCATCTCAGTGCCTGTGGAATCAAAATGTCTTTCCAAGGAAAAGATCAGTCAGTGCTGCAGGCTGTTTAGTCACTCAGAGCAGTGGGTGGGCAGCAAGGGGGCCATGACCACTCAAGGGCTCTTCTGGTAATGCAATATCTGAGAAGGCCAAAAGATAAAATCTCCCTGAGTGCTTGATGCTGAGTTATAAACTCCTTCCTTCTCCCCTCCTTCCCTGCTCTCTGGGAGTAGCAGTTCTTGTCAGTTTAAGGAACTTAGGTTTTATAGCCTCGATGGGAAGCTGAGTCTGTGCCCAGTTTTAACCCCAAACATGCCAGTTTTAACTCTACTGCAGCAGGTACTGGGTGCTGATGGGCATTCAGGGAGAGACAGATAACTGCAAAAGGGGATGGCACTTTGTTTCCAACCCTCTCCACAACTTCAAGGCAAGGGAGATCAGACTGAGAGGACAATATCCACAGGCTGCTGCGCTCATGTGATGACATGTGCATGAGAAAAGCATTAATGCCTTTGAGCCATCATTGTAAGAGCATATGCTGTTTCTTTTCTCTCCATTGTATCAAATCCTACTCGGGAAAAGGCTCTTTAAAGCCACAGACCTCAGGGAACACCAGCCTGTGAAGGCACCCCGTTTTGAGAACAACTAGTGATGTGACAGCCTGGAGATAAATAGAGTGCTGCCATCTGTGTGCTCCCCAGCCCACAATAAAGCACTTTTCAGAGTGAGCTCGGTGGAGATGAGAAGCTATTAAGTTATTAGCCAGATTCCTTAGCTTGGACCTGGAGCACCACACAGACTTGCTGCTGCTGCTGGCAGTGTGTCCAGACAATGGAGACATTCAAACCAGCACAAGCCTGAGTGGTTCAGTAAATAAACAGTAAAAGAAAGCCAAAAACAAAGGCAGAGAAGAGAGAGCCTCCTGGCCTACACGACCTGTGCTAATTCCACCTTGAGAGGTGCCAAAAGATATCAGCATCAAAATAGGAAAGACTGAAAAGTCTCAGTGTCTGAGAAGTGACATCAGACACTCTATGCAGCTGTTCAACCAGCGTTTCAATTCCATTCAGCCCAATGAACTGGGAGAAAAATAAAGTAAATACACATGCCACAGTGTAAAGTGCAGGACTGAACTTAACTGGATTTCTGTGCAAGGGAGTTCAAATTACTGGGCAGGTGAGGTTCAACCCCACCATGGCCATGCTGTGCAGCAATAAAGCATCCTGATGCATAAAGCCTCCTGGTCTTTCAGGTTCCTTGCAAGGCTAACCCAGTTTAAGGAACAAAACTTTACTGAGGAGCTGACAGGAACCTTCTGCAGCATTTCCTAGGTTTTCATACTGTGCATATAAAGCCACAGACTAGAACCAACTCCAAAATATTCTTCAGCCCACTGACAATGAAAAAAGTCCTGTTTGCACCAAAATTCCGAATTTTTTTCAGCTACTGTAGCACAGTTTATTCAGTCAAAATGCAAGTGGTAGTGAACAGACTGTAAATACTGCAACCCACCAAACATGTAGCACTGTGGCTGCAAGGTAATACCCCACAGGGAAGTCAGAAAGGCTAATCTGCATCTGCAAAACAACTTGACATCAATATCAGGACTTGTAAAAAACCAAGGCGAGTAGGTGTTTCAACCCAGATCTCATATTAACCAAACCAGCCTAATTCAGGGTGAGACTGGAATCTGCAGGGGATTTAGCCAGACTAGCCAGCAATTAGTTTTGATTTCATGCAATCCTCACAACACAAACCAGGCAGGTTGAAGCCACAGTCTCCTAGAGCCTCATCAACAGGAAAGAAAAAATGATTAGATGTACTGATTTGTAACCATGAACTAAAATTCTCAAAAGCCTGTCCCAAAGGGTACATACTGTCTCACTTGTTTGCTATCTATTTCTGGAAGCTGCTTGACAGAGCAGGCTCAGTCCTGCTTCAGTGAGACACCAAGTCGTGGTGATGCTGTGTGTGGTCGGAACTGGGTTTCACTTGGAAGCGAGCAGGACACAGGACACGCTCTCCATGCGATGAAAAGGGCTGATAGCAAAGTGTGACAGAGATAAATATAGCATAGCCAACGGGGTGATTCACACAACACATGTGCTACTCCAGCATGACTCCTCTATTATCTTGACTTTGACTCCTCTGCTGTATTTTATTTGGAGGCGGAGACACAAAGCAGCATGCTTAATTCTAATTAGAAGCTTCTTTAGCCAAAACTTCAGCTGAACCCTGCCTCCAGAATAACTTGAGTGGAACTGAAATTTGGTTACAGAGCAGATAATGGTCCACAAATCTGTGGCATATAGAGCAGAGGTATCTTGGAACCTAAAAATATTGTTGACAAAACTCAGCAGGGCAAGATCTGACCAGCAGGAATTGGGAACAAAGACAAGAAATATTATTCCAATGAAAAATGTTCTGGGAGTTAAAAACTGGAACTTTTTAACTGGGCTTTGGAAACATTTGGCTAGCAGTCACATGGAAACCCATTTATCTCTTCTCTCTTTATTTTTTTTTCCCAAGAATGAAAAAGAGTGGGGTTTTTTTTTCCCCTCTGTTTTTTTTTTCTTTTGTTTTGTTTTTGTTTGTTTGGGGTTTTTTTTTTTTGTTTGTTTGTTTTTTAAATTAAAGATATGACTTGAAGGAATGAGCAATGAAATAATTTCCTGGCTTTACCAGTGATGCTGTCCTGTGACACAGAGAGAAGTTAAAAACTCTGCACTCTGGAAAGAGGAATGCAACATTTTTTTTCTGCATTTAGTATCATTATGGAGAACATGAGACCTTGAGCATCGAAGTCCATATTCTGGCTGTGAGTAGCCTCTGACAAAGAATCCTCAACCTTCCCAGTAACAGCACTGTAAATAACAAGTGAGAGCCAAAGGCAATGTGCTCAAACCCCCACCATCTCCTGCAGGAGCCAAGTTTCAGTTTGGCAAAACTGAACGTTGCTTCCAAGGCTGCCAAGTGCTTTTCCAAACCTTTATGTTTAAAAAAAAAAAAAAAAATCTGTTTTCTACTACAAACAGTGGAAGGTTGCATCGGTTTGTTTTAATTTGTATTGAAGAGCTCAGGCTGCGCATCAGATTCATAAAACAAACCCAATAACATGGACAGCTGGTGTCCTTCATAGAGGCACCCCCTGAAAAGTTCATTAGTAGCCATGAAAGGTGCCTTTAAAACCACTGCCAAACATTTTCAGCTCCTCTGTTAGGTACAGCTTTCTCCCAAACCGCATCCCTCAGGCAGAGGACTGGTATGAGTCCCAAGGCACACCTCCCCTTAAAAGATGCAAACTGCAGAAATGCAATTACATCCCCTCAGAGCTGTTCCCTATACAATCCGAAACCTTTGACCACATTTAACAGGTGATTACCATCCACCATTGTTATTAAGGATGCCATCATAAAACTGAGCCATTCCTGCAGGAGCCAAGCTCCAGAGAGCCCTCATTATCCCTACTCCTTCTTTTGTTAGCAACACGCCTACAGAAGCCCTTACTGGCCCTTAGCTTTCTTAACCTCATCCCTAAGTTCTTGTACAATATCCCCAGATTCCTCCAGACTTCCCTAGCCTGTCTTCCATGAAAAGCCAAGAGCCTTCCATTCCAACGCTGAAGCCACAGGAGCCACCCCACCACCGATGCCAGTGATATCACACCCATGCAGGCATGTGCATGTCTCTGAATCTCCTTGTTTGTTCCCCATGCTGAGTGTGTTTGTGCAGAGGCATCTGAGCCAGGCCTTTATAAAGCCGACTGGCTGGAGCAGCTGGAATCCTTCTGCAGTGCTTGGGGCATCCACCCAGGCTGCCCAAAACAAAAGCACACCTGACACAGAGGCCGCCCATCGCAATCCACACAGCTCTTCCTGGTGTGTGTGCTTCTGCTCACAAAGCTTTCTTTTTTTTTTTTTTTTTTTTTTTTTTAGCGCTAAAAGGTAAAGGGAACTTTTAGAGCTCTGAGAGGATAAGAAACCTGAAAAACTCCCAGATGGGGGTTTCATGTGCCTTACTTGCAGAAATTAAGATCACAGAAGTGTCCCAGCTCCAGCCTTCTTGCTTCCACTCTTTGTGATGAATTTGCCATACAATTCTCAGAGCGTGACTTCGACACCAACTCTGAGTTA